AGCTTAGAGCTCACTCCTTGGCTCTGTCTCTGTAGCCACCTCCCCGTTCTAATACCTGTAAGCTCTTGGACACTCAGACACCCCGATCCTTCTGTGACCCTGCGGGACCTGAGGCCATGCTGACCCCATGTGGGCTTCACCCTGGTTAAGTCTCTGGAGCAATGTCCCTCAGCGGAACAGACTTTTAAAAGTCCTGATTTTGTGCTCTGTTGCTCCGCCACTTGCCGGGAGCCGGCCCCTCCCCCCACGGTCTATCTTCCCGTTGCTTTGGATTCACTTCTCTGCCAGTCCTACCTTTCAGAAAGTGGTTGATTTTCTGTTTCTAGAGTTGCTGTTCTTCTTCTCTTCGATCTCCCGTTGGATTTGTAGGTGTTTGCAATCTTTAGATAAGCTATCGAGCTGATCTCCCGCTACCTGAAGTAGTCTCAGCCTGCTACTTCTCCACCATCTTGACTCCTCCCCTGCCACTCTTCTTTTTAAGTCTTGTTGCCTCTCTGGTGCCTGCAGTCTTGGTACTTATTGTTTCTTTGTGCTGCTCCTTGTTTTAGCAAGGCTTTGGGATGTGGCGGGCAGTGGACCACCGTTTCACCAGGGGGAGACTCACCATCAGTGGGCCCTCCACACACAGCCTACACCTCCATGGGCAGCCAGGGCGCTTCTGCCCCCAGATTGAGACTCTCTTCCATTGTCTGTGTAGAAAGGGAAAGCTGCAACTCAACAGGAACTTAAATTCCTGTGGTGGAGAGAGAGCTCATCCACCCAGAGTGATGTGGATGCAGGAGTAGCCTAGGATGTGGATGCCAGGACTATGGCTGGGAAAGGAAGATGTTTCTTCTCTTCTTGCTCTGCCCCTGAGAAAACAGCCAAGTTTGCCTTCTCCAGGGACACTCCTGCACCGCCCTGGGCATGCTCCACAGAGCATGGCTTCATTTAGTCCCTTCTGGACTCATGAAGATGCCCCATGGGGTGTTTGCTGAGGAAGGTTTTGTAAGAGATAACCCTGGAGATACCCCGTATCTCTAAAACAGTCCTTGGGTAAGCTGTGTTACATCTCTGCACAGAAGAGCACAAGAGCATATAGTCATTTTTTTAAATGAAGAAGGCATGGAATGATCTCTCAGATGTTGTATATTTTTTAAAAGTTGTAAAATAGGGGCGCCTGGGTGGCTCAGTGGGTTAAATCCTCTGCCTTCAGCTCAGGTCATGATCCCAGGGTTCTGGGATCGAGCCCCGCTTCAGGCTCTCTGCTCAGCAGGGAGCTTGCTTCCTCCGCTCTTTCTCTCTGCCTCTCTGCCTACTTGTGATCTCTGTCAAATAAATTAGAAAATAATAATAATAACAAAAAAATAAAAGTTGTAAAATAATACGTATGGTGTTACACTTATGTAAAAATATGCATGTCTATGTGTGTTACGTATGTATACATGTCAGTGTGTCCATCCACCTTGTAGACTTGGGAATAATTTCAAACCTACACTTTAAGCAACGTTTACCTCTGGGAGTGGGGTTGGGCTTTTGTTTTGTTTTGTTTTTGTTTTCTTTATATACTGTTAATTGCTTGAATTGGTTATAACTAAAGGTAAAATAAAAGAAATGGAAGATTTGTTCATGATTTGCAGAGGTGGTGGGGGAGGGGGGTATTGTTTGTAAATAGGGCAACAGGGAGAGAGCTTGGGGTGGGGGGAGCATCAGGGAGATGTGGGTGTGGTAGGTTCTATAGTCAGGGCTCCCTAGTCACTCCTTACCTTCCTCATCTTGATTCCTCTACCCTCTTTAACATACTGAATTTTGCCACTTGTCTTTCTCACTGTTATGTTCTCCTATCTGTTTACTTGTGGCTTATCAGAAACTAGCTTTGGCAAATTGTATTGTATGTAGCTCACCACAGCTGGCTGTTGTCCACAAAAGGATGCAGCTTCCAACTCTGGGTGGGGACTCTTCTTGGATGAGAAGCTTGACAGATGTCGAGTTAGGAAGCTCATTTAGTTTTCTGATTTATCCTTCATGTTTTCACATGTATATCTGTGTTTCTCAATGTTGTCTCTAATCATCTCAAAGCAGTCTGGGATGGGAGCATGTATGTGTTCCCAGGTCCAGTGCTCCTTGCCGTTTTTCCACTTCCCCGTGCTCCTGCTGAAGTGCCCGTGTAATTTGATGAGTGGATAGGGCAGGCTTGTTCTCCCTTTACTCCTGCACCCAACCTGAGGCCAGGAGCTGGTTTACTCATCCTCAGAGTAGATGCTGGTAGTCTTTACACCTGATCAGCAGGTGTTCAGTCAGTCAGGAGCTCAGGGGCGGCAGTTCACCTTTTAAGAACATGGTAAAACATCACAATGAAGATTCTATTCAAAGTGAGTTTTTTTTTTACTGACACTCATTGATTCTGTTGTTTTCCTGAGTAAAGTGATACTCTGGGCTTGGGGGGTTGATGTGAACAGATTCCAGTCCCTCATATAGTTTTTGTGCTGAGGGAGACTTCCCTACCCACATGGGTGACGGTGGTCAAATGGTGTCGACATTAAAAATTATATCTTTGGGGCTCCTGGGTGGCTCAGTGGGTAAGGGTCTGACTCTTGATTTCGGCTCAGGTCATGATCTCAGGCTCTTGAGATCCAGCCCCGTATCAGCCTCCACACTGGCTGTGGAGCCTGCTTAGGATTCTCTGTCTCCCCCTCCCCCTGCATCCCTCCCCCCATCACATGCTTGCTCTCTCTCTCTCTCTTAGGAAGAATTATGTCTTTATTTAATTGGCATTTATTGTGCTGTCTGTTATTAGTAAGAGATGTTGCTTTGCTGTTTTATGTTTATAAATTAATCATTTGATTATTAATGAGCTTGATCAGTTTTCCATGCTTGTTTACTTATCATATTTCCTCTTTTCAGAGTTGTCCAGGATCTGTGTCTGTGTCATATGCTGACATGAAATCACTGTTGTTGTTGGTCAGAACAGTCCAGTATTGACAAGTTCATATGGTTCATCCTAATTCCTTTAGGACTTAAGTGTTTTTCATGATTTAGCGACATTTTTCTAGTTATGAAGTGTTTCATTTTCTGTAACAATTTTTCAGAAATATAAAAATGTAGAAAATGGAAATGTGTAATACCATAAAATCATCTCTTACCACTTTGGTGTAGATTTTTCCTCCCTACTTCCTTTCTTCCCTCCCTTCTGCCTTCTTCTCTTCTCGTCTCCTCTTCTTTTCTCTTCTTTTCTTCTCTTGCCTTCCCTTCCTTCCTTCCTCCCACAGAATTGCAGAAGTCTCCTGATAGAACTGTTCTAGATATAAATGAATATGTGAACTGACTAGTATGTATACTAGCTATTATTATTATAAAGTTTTTATCCTGCCTTGATATTTTATCAACTGCACCTCGTCTCCTGTTAAATATTCTTCAAAAATGTGTCTTTTAAGCCTATTGAATCTTCTGCCATATAATTATGCTGTAACTTAGGAAGCTATTTTCTTTCATTGGACATTTTATTTTCTTTTATTTATTTTCTTGTATTTTCTTTTATGTCTTTGTCTGTAGCTCTGTTTCCCAAAGCTATAAGAATTTCTGTAAGGAATTTTGTGTACATGAAATAAATAGGTAAGATAATACAATTATTTAAAAATTTCTTGGCAAATGTGAAAAGTCTAGAATGTCTGGAAGGCATTTACTTGTCACTTTCTCAGCAACATGTGAGAGACCCTTCTTATGATATCCTCAGCTAACATTGGGGGGGTTAATCTTGATAATTTGTCAGTGACAAATAGTATCTTTGTTTTCATTTGGATATTTTTTGATGTGAACAGATATTTTTAGAACTTTTTAGAAGTTATTAACCATATATTTTTCTTCTTCTTCTTTTTTTTTTTTTTTAAGATTTTATTTATTTATTTGACAGACTGAGATCACAAGTAGGCAGAGAGGCAGGCAGAGAGAGAGGAGGAAGCAGGCTCCCTGCAGAGCAGAGAGACCGATGTGGGGCTCGATCCCAGGACCCTAAGATCATGACCTGAGCTGAAGGCAGAGGCTTAACCCATTGAGCCACCCAGGCGCCCCTGTTTTTCTTCTTTTGTGATTAATCAACATCTTCAATAAATTTTATTGGAGTTTCCATTTTTTATTAAAAATTTGGTAAAATTTGTTTACATTTTTCCTTTTTAGTATTTGTAACTGAATACTAATAAGGGAAAAAATACCATATTTGTGTATGTCTAGAGAGAAATTAGAGTGTATATATACTTGCCAAAATATTCATAATTTGGGGGGATAATTTTAGCTCTCTATTTTACATTTACCTCTTTTTTCTGATTATTCTACAATAGATAATTTTAAAATTTCTTTTCTTTCTTTTTTTTTTTTTTTTAAAGATTTTATTTATTTATTTGACAGAGAGAGACACAGCAAGAGAGGAAACACAAGCAGGGGGAATGGGAGAGGGAGAAGCAGGCTTCCCGCTGAGCAGAGAGCCTGATATGGGGCTCGATCCCAGGACCCTGGAATCATGACCTGAGCCAAAGGCAGGTGTTTAATGACTGAGCCACCTGGGTGCTCCCTAGATAATTTTTTTTAAATTTCTTTAAAAAGATTTATTTATTTATTTAAAAGAGAGAGAGGGCAGGTGGAGGGGCGAGGACAGGTAGACTCTCCATTGAGCAGGGAGTCTGCCATGGGGCTTGATCCCAGGACCCTGAAATCATGACCTGAAATGAAATCAATAGTTAAATGCTTAACTGAGCCACTTAGGCACCCCAATAATAGATATTTATCTTAAAAAACAAAGAGATTCTGGGTTTTGTGAACAGGGACTGGCTCCCTGGTCACATGCTTCTGGCCTCTCCTACAGAGGCCTCACATAAAACTGAGAGCACCCTGGATGCCTTTTCCCATGTGCCCAGCCCCTACCTGCACCTGGGCCACCTTGCTGAGGCTCATCAGAGCAGTGAAAGAATGTGTGAGGTGTGGCAGTAAGAGTGTACTCTTGATTTTTTTTTTTCCCCTGGCATGTCCAGCTTGCTATGGGATGGACGAAGAAGAAGAGAACCACTATGTTTCACAGCTCAGGGAAGTCTACAGCAGCTGTGACACCACAGGGACAGGCTTTCTGGACCGGGAGGAACTGACCCAGCTCTGCCTAAAGCTGCATCTGGAAAAGCAGCTGCCCATCCTTCTGCAAACACTTCTTGGAAATGACCACTTTGCCAGGGTGGGTATTTGACTTCATTCTTATAAAGAAAAGCACAGAGTACTGTAGTTAACTGCAGGCATTTGAGAAATATCAGTGGACTAAAGACACACCAGAGTAGAGTTACTAGAAACTTGAACAGCGCTTTTCCTTCTGGGGACTCCTCCATTGAAGCAAGAGTTTCCTTCAGATTACTTTTTTTTTTTTTTAAAGATTTTATTTATTTATTTGACAGACAGAGATCACAAGTAGGCAGAGAGGCAGGCAGAGAGAGAGAGGGAAGCAGGCTATCCGCGGAGCAGAGAGCCTGATGCGGGGCTTGATCCCAGGACCCTGGGATCATGACCTGAGCTGAAGGCAGAGGCTTTAACCCACTGAGCCACCCAGGCGCCCCCAGATTACTTTTTTTTGAAAGCATAGTTACTTCCAGAGGTTTGGTTTGGTTTAGTTTTTCCAGAAAGATGTTTGAGAGATTTTTTGGGTGTCGGGCGGGGAAGGGGTGGAAGGCTGTATGGGTGGGAGGCAGGTGGTTCACAAAAATACAAGGATCTGTGGGCAGATGACACACTGGGTGCCTTGAAGTGCCTTGAAGGCTGATTGACCAGTAAAATGACACAGCTTGCAATTCTTTCTAGCAGCTAGACAAAGCAAGTGCACACCACTGCTGCAGGAACAAGATACCTATATTCAGAGGTGTCCTGTGATTTCATCTAGGCCAGATAGAAAGTACTCTATCTTTGCTGCTTTTCACTAGGAAATTGAAGATCATCCAGAACGGTGATCTAGAACCTAGACCACAACTTGCTTTCCTGACAGAAATACTAAAAAGTACCTCCCACCTTGTCCCTACTGCTTAATTATGTCTAGATATTAACTTATGTCATAGAAACAGTGTTGGTCATCTTAACTTTGAAGGAAGAGGTTGTTTTTTTTTTTTCTGCCACAGAAATCAATGAAACTATTTTTATTATCAAATGAGAAAAAAAATCCAGCCTGCAGATGTTCCTGAATTGGCTCTTGGACAAAAACAAATGAAGAAAACCAAGGAAAAAAACTCTCACTGCTGGTACAGGGAGAAAGTCCAGATGAATTGTACCTCTTGTTACTTCCCAATGCCTGTCAGTAGGATAATGTTACTCCCTCTTAGGGAGCTCTGCCTCAATTAAGCTGACCACACCCATTCTCTGTTTCTTTTTACTCTACTCCTGCCTTTTGGTTTTGTGTGTTGTTGTTGTTTTTAAGAACTTAAGAGTCAGGTGTATTTTTTAAAATATATTTTTAAAGATTTTATTTATTTATTTGAGAGAGAGAGAGAGCTAGAGAGAGAAAGAGAGCACACACACACAGAGAGGGAGAGAGAGAAGCAGACTACTCATGAGCAGGGAGCCTGACTTGGGGCTCGATCCCAGGACCCCCAGGATCATGCTTAACTGACTGAGCCACCCAGGCGCCCCAGGTGTATTTTTTTTAAGGATTTACTTATTCATTTGGGGGGTGGGGCGGGCAGAGGGAGAGGGAAGGAGAGTCAAGCAGACTCTGTGCTGAGCACAGAGCTAATGCAGGGTTTGATGTCATGACCCTGAGAGCAGGATCTGAGCTGAAACCAGGTGTCAGCCACTTAACTGACTGTAGCACCCAGGAGCCCCAAATCAGGTGTACTTTTAATAATGATCAAACATCATAAAAAACATACAATGTGAAAATCAGCACTCTGGTTATTCAGGCAGTACAAACAGATGATCTGGTTTTCTTGGTTATTTTTGATAGTTGAGAAAATTCAAAACCAAAAGAATAACTTTGGGGTTCATATTCAGATGGCAGGTTCTGCTGATTGAACAAATCACATCATTCCCGAGCCTTACCCTGCTTTGTTTTGTATGTGCAAAAGTGGTATAACATTTATTAATTTTTTTATTGACATATAATGCATTATCTGTTTCAGGGGTACAGGTCCGTGATTCATCAGTCTTACACAATACACAGAACTCACCATAATACATACCTTCCCCAGTGTCCATCACCCAGCTACCCTATCCTCCTAACCCCCTCCCCTCCAGCAACCATAGTACAACATTTAGAAACTTCACACTGGGGCCCCTGGATGGCTCAGTTGGCCAAGTGTCTGCCTTTGGCTCAGGTCATGATCCCAGGGTCCTGGGATCGAGTCCCACATCGGGCTCCCTTTTTCAGCGGGGAGTTTGCTTCTCCCTCTGCCTCTCCCCCTGGCTTGTACTCTCTCTTTCGCTTACTCTCTCTCTCTCTCTTTCTCAAATAAATGAATAAAATCTTTAAAAAAGAAGCATCAAATTATGATAGGAAAAAAAAAGGTTAGTATTGGAACATCAGTAAGGAGAAAAATCAAGTTGGAATTGAGATTTCTGGCCTCCCCCACATCACATGTATCCCATAAAGCAGTTCCTTTGAGTTGTAATCCTTCTGGGAGGCTGGAAGTTTCTCCACACTTTTATGGGGAGGTATGTTAGAAGGAGACATAAGACAGTCATAAGCAAGGACAGGAGCCTGATCTTTTCTGATGAATGGTGGCACGTGGAAAAGCTCTGTGGATATTCATCCATCTTTGTGTCTGTCCCAACTCCATTCTCTTACAGCCATGATTTCTGTTTCCAAAAAGCAAGTCAGGTGTTGGGTAAATCAAGAAATAGCTCTGCTTCCATTAGTGCTCTTGTGTCTGACCTGAAGTTGTCCCCCCTTCTCTCTCTGTAACATTTCAAGAGCAGTGCCCACACCACCTGATGCCTCTAGGGGTCTGCTCCACCCCACACTTTATACCATCTCTTCTGTGATAGTGCTTATGATGGATTATTTCTGCTGTCAGAGTTTTTATTGTTCCTCTGCCTCATGCCACAGAAAGGACATAGCTCACAGAGCCACCACTTAGGTGAAACCTTCTATAGGTGTTTTAGGGGAAGCTGGTGTCAAGCCATAAATATCCAGATAGTTGTCACCATTTTCTGCAACAGAAACCAAATGGTGGAGATTTCAGTAGATTTCAGAGAAAAATCAAGAGAAATCCTTTATCCAGGAAAATTGATTGGCTTTTCAGTTCAAGTATCACACATCCAGTTTCCTTGTAGAAACTAACATATATGACATCATGTAAATGTTGGTCATTGATACTTCAATTCAGTTACAAAAATGAAGGACAATATTAATTTGAATTAAAAAGATAATGTTTTAATTCATTGAAGTATGCTCATTTTTAATTCCTATTTCCTGTTAAAGAAACGTTATCAAGGTCTGGTTTCAGGCCAGAAATCAATGTGGCCCAAGATTCCTGTGGAGTGTGGGAAATTCCCATGTGCATTTTATGTTATGTTCTCATGTTTCTTTATCAGTGGCAAGGATCTTACCTTTAGTATTTTAAATTTGGTTAGAAAGAGAATTTTACTCTCAAAAAATAATTATTTTTTAAATTGAAATATAGTTGACATACAATGTTACAGTAGTTTTAGGTGTATATTACAGTGATTAGACAAGTATATATGTTATGCTATGCTCACCACAGGTGTAACTACCATCTGTCACCATATATTACTACAGTATCATCAATTATATTCTCTATGCTGTGCCTTTTATCCTCATGAGTTACTCATTCCATGACTGGAAGCCTATATCTCCCACTTTCCTTCAACATTTTGTCCATCCCCCTACTACCTCTTCTTTGGCAATCATCAGTCAATTTGTTCTCTGTATTTATGAGTCTGCTTTTGATTTTTGTTTGTTTATTCATTTGTTTTATTTTTTAGATTCTATTTTTTAGATGACCATAAGTGAATCCTATGGCATTTGTCTTTCTGTACTTACTTCACTTAGCATAATACTCTCTGGGTCCATCCATGTTGACACAGATGACAAGATCTCATCCTTTCTTATGACTGAGCAGTATTCCTTTGTATACATATATCACATTTTCCTTATCCATTTGTCTCTTGACAGACACTTGGGCTGCTTCTGTATCTTTGCTGTTGTAAATAATACTACAATAAACATAGGGGTGCATATACTTGAAAAAAAATTCTTAACATAGTGTTACTGATAATAATTTTCGAGTTGAAAGTGATTGCCAATCACAGCGTCTAACCTCTATTTGTGATGAGTGAGTGTGAGATTATACAGAGATGATGGTGAGTCCTTTTTGGTGAAGCACCTGAATATTGTGGGTTTGTTCTTCCCCCTTTCTTGAGCTATGAAGGAAGGAAACTCAGAAACACAAGAATAGTCAGAATAATATCAGATAGTGGCACCTGGGTGGCTCAGTTGTTTAAGTATCTGCCTTTGGCTCAGGTAATGATCCCAGGGCCCTAGGGTGGAGCTCCATGGCAGGCTCCCTGCTCAGCAAGGGGTCTGTTTCTCCCTCTCCCTCTCCTTCCGCCCCTCCCCCTGCTCATGTTCTCTCTCAATATTTCTGTCTCTCTCTCAAATAAATAAAATCTTTCAGAAAAAACAATAGTATCAGGTAAAATGGCAACACACTTGGCCATCAGATCCCACTACTGTTTAGTGGTTGGAAGAAAATCAGATGATAAGTATTATCAAAGACAAAAGAAATCAAAGATTAGATCAAGTAAAGTTGTCATTTCATTTTGCTTCCATATATTGAACAGGTATTTTTTTTAAGGATTTTATTTATTTATTTGTCAGAGAGAGCACAGGCAAGAGGAGTGGCAGGCAGAGAGAGTAGCAGGCTCCCCACTGAGCAGGGAGCCCCATGAGGGACTTGATCCCAGGATCCTGGGATTATGACCTGAGCCAAAGGCAGATGTTCAACTGACTGAGCCACCCAGGCGTCCCTTCAACAGGTATTTTTGAGCACTTAATATGTGCTATGCAACATGCAGAAGCTAGGGACGTGATAATCGATGAAATATCATGTATATCTTCATATGAAATGAAATCTATGCAAGATATTCATTCTAGTATTGATTCAAATAGCCAAATATTGGGAACAGCCTTTTAAATATGAGATTGCTTAAATAAATTCTGCTAGATCCATCTGATGAAATTTATGCAGTCCTAAAAAAGTATGAATAGGCTTCAACATTCTGGTAGTAGCAGGTTAGCACACTCAGGCCGACCTTCCAGTGAGGGCTACTGAAAAAGCTGAACAAAATCATAAAAACAAAGATCTTGAAAATGGTAAAGAGGAAATAAGTCAGTGAAGAATTACCGGTCTAAAAATCTGTAAGTCACATACTGAGAGAGGTTCAGTCCAGCACACAAAACCCCATTATTTCTGAGAAACTGAAATTGATGTGGTCTTTGGGACCTTAGAGGACCAGGGAAATCTATGTCAAAAAACAGGTTGAGGGGTGCCTGGGTGGCTCAGTCAGTTAGGTGTGTGCCTTCAGCTCAGGCCATGATCCAGGGGTCTTGGGATCCAGCCCCACATTAGGCTCCCTGCTCACAGGGAGTCTGCTTCTCCTTTTACTCCCTGGAGGAAAGGATTCTCACCCAAGGTAGAGAATCTGATAAACTAGCCCCCAGTTTAAGGAAGGATCTGAAACAGCCATTGTGCTTTTTGCTATCTGGGCTTGTCACCTCTCAGTGGTCTAGATAAACCTCATTTAGCTAAAGGTGGTCCTGCTCAGGTGGTGCCCTGAGGCATCTGGCAAAAGCAAACAAAAATCTTCTCTTAAGAAGTGCCAGCATTCAAGATCTGTAATTATCCCCGTCTAATAGTCAAATACAATAACCAGCATGCAATCAAGGATAACCAGCACACAAATAACACAGGATGAGCAAGAACCAGGAAAAACAACAGGCAGCAGAGGCAGACACACAGCTTGTAAGGTAGTGGAATTACTGCAAACAAAATATAAAACAACTGTTGTGACTAACTGTGTTAGGAGTTTTTTTCAAAGCTTGAAAATACCTATAGGAAAGAGGGAACTCTAAGAAATGATAAATCTGAACAAAGAACTGAATAAATCTTTTTAAGGTTTTATTTATTTATTTGACAGACAGAGATCACAAGTAGGCAGAGAGGCAGGCAGAGAGAGAGAGAAGGGGGAGGAAACAGGCCTACAGAGCAGAGAGCCCGATGTGGGGCTCGATTCCAGGACTTTGGGATCACCGAATAAAACTTTTAGAATCAAATAGTGTGATGGCCAAAATCAAAACCTAATGCAAGAGTTTAACAGCTCTTTAAGCAAATTAGACACAGTCAAGGAGAGCATTCAGTAACTGGGATCATTCAGAATACAGCACGAAGATATAACAAAAGGTAAAGGTAGAATGAGGAGGTCCAACCTTCCAACATACCTTTATTTGGAATCCCAGGAGGAAAGGAGTGAATGAGGTGGGGCATTATGTGAATATATAATAGCTAAAAAAACCTTCCAGAACAGATTCAGGATCCCCAAAGCCCACTGAATTCCAAGTAGCATATTTACAAAGACATCTACACCTGACCATATTATTGTGAAACTGAAAGTAAACATAGAGAAATCATTGGAAAAGCAGCCAGAGATGGTTGCACAGGATCTCTGCATTTTTTCCTATAACTGCATGTGAATCTATAGTTACCTCAAAATGATAAGTTTAATAATTTTTTAAAGCTGTCAGGCAAAAATAAATGTATTTTATTTAGGTAATTATTAGGTTAGATGGACAGCTGCCTTCTCAGATATAACAATACAAGCCAGAAACCAGTGGAGAGGTATTTCTAATGTACTAATAGAAAACATCTGGCAACCTGAATTCTATACTCAGCAAAAAGATCCTTTAAGAGTAAAAGTGAGGGGCACCTGGGTGGCTCAGTGGGTTAAAGTCTCTGTGTTCGGCTCAGGTCATGATCCCAAAGTCCTGGGATGGAGCCCCGCATCGGGCTCTCTGCTCGGCGGGGAGCCTGCTTCCTCCTCTCTCTCTCTGCCTGCCCCTCTGCCTGCTTGTGATCTCTGTCTGTCAAATAAATAAATAAATAAAATCTTTAAAAAAAAAAAAAGAGTAAAAGTGAAAGAATGAACCCCTTAGAAGGGGAGTTCTGCTCAGTTATAAAAAGATACAGAGGCCAACACATCCAAAAAATGTTTGTTGAGTACTACTGTTTGCCGGCAGTGTCCTCACATGCTAGTTGGGGAGACAAAAATAAAGAAATACACAAATAATCCAATGTCAGTTTACAATAACATGTGTATCCCAGGCAAACAGCTACATTTAGTGCTCAGTGGCAGTAACAGAGGTTTTCTCATTCAGATTCTGTGCCAGATTTGAGAAGCATACTTGGACCTACAGCTCCACACCAGCATTTACTGGTGATATTTTGACGTGCATAAGCCCTTCTGTTGACATCTTTCTGTGTGACTTTTATTGAAGCACCCATAGAGAACAGAGCACATATCAGAAGTTCACACTCAATAACTATCCTATACTGAGCACAGCTGGGTAACCAGCATTCTGAATCCCTCCCCATGTTCCTTTCAGACCCTCTGTCACTAAGGCCACCATTGTCCTAACACCAACACCACAGATATGTTTTGCCTGTTTCTGATCTTTGTAGAATGGAAAAACACAGTACATGCTCAGTACATACTCTCTGACTTCCTTTACTCTATATTATATCTGTGAAATACAGTTCATCTTGTTAGTGTTTTTTCCATCATCATTTCATTTTTTGCCTATATCATAATTTACTTACCCATTCCATTTGTGGACATCTTGGTCATTTTTACTATTTTTACTATTTTTCTAATAAATTGTTTATCTGCTTGAAAAGTCTATCGAAAGTGAAATTAAAAAATATTTCAGACAATCAAACTAAAAAGAATTTAGCATCAGCATACTTAAGAAAAATGAAATTCTAAACCATGTACTTCAAATAGATGAAAATTATCCTAGACAGAAGGTCAGAAATACAAGAACAAATGAAAAACAAAGCGGTAAATATTTGGATAATTATTAATGAACATTGATTATATAAAACAAAAAATATTTTGTGGGTGTTTAAAATGGAACAAGTTCAAATATATGGCAACTCATAAGAAAGGCATGAAAGTCAGGACTCTAGTAGATGAAAGTGTTACATCGGCTTCATATCGTCATGGAAGAGGGTAAAACTATCAACTGAAAGTAAACTTTGATAAGCTGAGGATTTGTGTTATAATTTTTAGGATAAATGGTCAGAGAAAGGAAATAGACTATATAACTTCTAACTTAATAAAAGGAAAATGAAGTACTAAAAAAAAAAAGTCAGTAAATCCTAAGAGAGAGAACCAGGGAGAAAACACAAGCAGGTCAGATTGAAAACACACAATAGAATAGTAGATTTAAATCCAAATATATCAGTAATTATATTAAATGTAAATAGACTAAATAGTTAAAAGATAAAGATAAAAAAGATTTTATAAATGACACCTGAAATATATGGATATAAAAAATTGACATTATTAAAATTTGGTGAAAAAATATATCATGTAAATACTAACCAAAAGAAAGCTAGATCTTTATGGTAAAAAAACATTACTGAAGTAAAGAGGGTTAGCATTTTATAGCAGTAAAAGATTCAGCTCACCAAGAGGATTTAAAAGCACATTCTATGGCCCAGCAATCCTATTCTTCAGCACATACTCCTAAGAAGCTCCTAAAAACACATATGCAATGCAGTTCAAAGCATTTTTTAAAAAAATAACCAGCCACTGGAAACAATGGGAATATCCATCAGTAGAAGAATGGATTAATACATTTTTGCATGTTAAACAATGGAGTATTACACAGCAGAGAAAATGCACTACACATGGCTGCTTGAATGAATATTACAGAAGTAATAGAGTCTAAGAAGCCAGATATAAAAGAATATATGCATATGATTCCATTTAGATCAAATTTGTAAAGAGGTGAAACTAAACCATATTGTTCTGGGATGCATACAAATGAGGACAAGAGCAAAGATGTTAATATCGTAAAAGTCAGAGTATGGGGGGCAGGGAATTTAATTAGGAAAGGAACCATGGTGGAGGAGCCTCTAAGGTACTGGTATTATTCCATTTCTTGCTGGGGTGGCGATAGCCTGGATATTTTCTTTATGTATATTAATGTTTTATGATCATCAGATCCCCCTTTTGGGTACTGTTTTCTAATCATTAAAATTGGTAATAGGGGTTTTTTGGTGATTAGTTTGTGGCTTACTTTTACTTTTCATGTTATATTTTTCTACTTAAAATCTTAAGTGAATATTAGAGAAAATGAATGGTCTCAGAGCTAAAGGCAACACTAAGATGTTTCCATCTGAGAATAAAAACAAAATGCTAAGATCTGTTGAAAGTAGTGCTAACCTCTCTTTTCTTATATTCACCAGGTTAACTTTGAGGAATTTAAGGAAGGTTTTGTGGCAGTATTGTCATCAAGTGCTGGTGTTGGCTCCTCTGATGAAGACAGTAGTTCTTTGGAATCAAGTAAGAGGATTTCTTCCTCTTAATTCAAGTGTTGTTGTTGTTGTTTTCATTATTTACCTGTTATCTTCTGGAGTGTGATATTCAGATTGAAGACTATAGCAGGTCTGAGAACTAAATTGTAACTCCACTCCCTTACTGCTAACCTGTGTGGACTGGGATAAGACTTTGGGTTTTTTCTTCTTTTGCTTCCTTATTTGTGCAATAGTGTTGGAAAGGAGAAGCTCTATTGTTTTCCTTTATACACAGTACTTCTGCTCACCAGATGTGTGGTAGTCTGTCCCACACCAGCAATTCTCCAACACCACGTGGGTTTCCTACATTGTAACTCAGCCCTGACGTTGCCTACCTGCCGATGGCATCAGATCCCACAGGCCAAGGGCTCAGTCCCACAAAGTGGCTGCACTTTAGTCTCAGGTCCAGTGACTGGCTCTAAATCAGAGGCTCCCACAACCCCTTCCTCAGGTTCAATTAATTTGCATGAGGAGTTCCTAGAACTCAGGAAGACAGTTTACTTACCAGATCACTAGTTTATTATAAAAGAATGTAAGTCAGGAACAGCCAGGTGGAAGAGGACACAGGGCAAGGTGTGAGGAAAGGATGCAGAGCTTCTGTGCCCTCACCAGGCACGCCATTCTCCCCCAATCTCTATGTGTTCACCCCAGGAGCTCTCTGAACCCCATCCTGATGGGTTTTTATGCAGGCTTCATTATGTAGGCATGATGGTTCAAATCATTGGCTATTGGTGATTGAACTCCATCTCTAGCCTGTCCCCCTTCCCTGAAGGTCAGGGTTTGTAGCTTCCCTGTTTGTAGCTTCTCCCTTCCAAATGCCACTGGGTCTGCTCAGAGGTTCTCTTGTTTTCTCTCTGCTGATCTTCGGATCACATGGTTGTGTCCCTGGGCAACCAGACCCCAACCGTAGGGGCTTTCCAGAAGTCACCTCATTAACATAAACTCAGGTTTGGTTGCTCTTGTCACTTAGGAAATTCCATGGGTTTTAGGAGCTCCGAGCCAGGGAAGAGATGAAGAGCAAATATATACTCATGATAAATCAGGGTATCACAGGTGTCAAATAATATCATGTGCTGTGCTTACAGTATGGGCTGTTGACAAGATAAAGTAGATGTAGAGCAGCTGAAGTTTTGAGAATTGAAACCTTAGTGCAGACACAGGTGTATCCAGACCACGGAGGTTGGCAGAGCAGGCAGGATGCCAGCAGCCGGAGACAGACCTCGCTGTGTCTTTTGTCAGACAGTAGTGTTACATTGTGCTGGTAGGCCTAACTAGACTCCCGTTATGGGAATGGGGCTGCTGGGACAAAGATAGCCCAAGTGGAAGTGGTGTCCGGAGGGGTTGCCCCCTGGCTTTGGTAGTGCTCAGGAGGTGGAGGGAGGGTTTGGAGAATGGTCCATTCAGGGGCATGTAGATTGTGGGGTAAGGGTGAGAAGATGCTGACAGATATCGTTGTTAGTACCTGCTCCATCAGACTTGAGACTGTGAGTGGCAGCCATGCTTCCGACCCATCTTGGCTGTCTCTGATGAGTATTGGGCAGGTGAGTGAAAGGGGGCATGGGGCACTGTGTTCGAGGTTGGAGACATGCAATTGATGAGCAGATCGGGCAGGGAGCTCTTTCCCTCGGCCCCCGGCAGCCTCCTGCCATGGCAGATCCTGGGTCTGGAGAAGCTACGTGACTGGATAGCAGGGATAGCAGTGTGGGAGGGCTTGGGGCAGGGAAGAAAGAATGAGAGCTCACATTGATTGTCTTCAGTGTACCAGACTCCCTGAGGTTCTTCAGATGAGGAACTGAGGCCTGATATGTGAAGGGATTTATTTGTTCAATATCCCACACTAGTAAGTGATGACCAAGACTCGAGTCACAGTTTTCCAATTGCAAGCCCCGGGCCCTTTTATATGCAGCGTAGACAGAACCCACTCCTTCCACTGCCGAAGGCTGCAGAGCACCTGGGTATAGTGCAGAGAACCCTGCCATGGGGCGAGTGGTGGGAACCGTGTGTAGGACCCTCAGGGCATTCGCTGGTTGCTTTATCTGACACTTTTCTTCTCTAAGAAGTGAAGAAGACCACTGGCCTTTAGGAACACAGGATTTGGGAATGTGTACACGGTGATGGTGTACAGGAATGGAAAGGTGTGGAGTCCCTGACACTGCAGGTCCCCTCCCATGCTGGAGAGTGCATGGAGCTTCTTTTCTTTCTTTCTTTTTTTTTTTTTTAAAGGTTTTACTTATTTATTTGACAGAGAGAGAGGGATCACAAGTAGGCAGAGAGGCAGGCAGAGAGAGAGAGGGAAGCAGGCCCTCTGCTGAACAGAGAGCCCGATGTAGGGCTCGATCCCAGGACTCTGGGATCATGACCTGAGCCGAGGCAGAGGTTTTAACCCACTGAGCCATCCAGGCGCCCCCATGCTTGGAGCTTCTAAACATAAAACTGGATCTGTGGATGCACGCTCAGTTCCTCCAAAGAGAAAGGAACTATTCTAGGACTTGGAGGTTTTTTCCACTTATTCTCCTTTTTTATTGTTTTCTTTGTTTTTTTCTTTTCTTTTGGATTTCAGAGGTTTTTAAAGGGTCATATGTGTGGCCTGATACTCCTTGCTTCGTGCCAGCCAAAGGTGGGGAGTATCAGAGGCACTCTGAGTTTTCTGTGCTTGGTTTCCTTAATGTACCCCAGCTTCCCACTTCCTGCCTGATAGAACTTTCCCCTCTTCCTAAACCACCTCACTGTGGAAGCTTCTTCCTCTGCCCATATTAATCAGCCTGCAGCCTCTCTCTAACCAGAAACCATGCTCAGATGCAGGAGCCTGGATTCACTGGTCCTCACTTAGCCTTTTGGCAGCTTTTTGGTGGGAGCCTTTTTCCATGTTTGTAGCTTCCCCCTTCCAAATGCCACTGGGTCTGCTCAGAGGTTCTCTTGTTTTCTTTCTGCTGACCTGGACACTTTGCCCTCCTCTTCAGCACATCACATTCCTGTTGTCCAGGGTGATTGGCATAGTGTCCATGATTACCTTCAAGTACCCCAGTGAGGTGAGCAATGCTGTATTCACCCTGAGTATTGTCAGATGCCTTAAATGTCATGCTGTCACTTCACAGTCTATCTATCCCATGTGGAGCTCGGCATCTTCCTTCCTCGACCACAGTGTCTGTCTGCCACTGGTATCACTATGCTTCCATGTGGCCAGGCTGTGCCCAGCCCCCTCGTCTGATGTGGTCCTAAGGGCAGGGGCTGTGGCCTGGCTATTGGGGACATGGAAGAAAGGAATAGTGTGGTACTTGGCTCAAAGGAGCATGACACCTCTCAGTGAAGTGCTGCTCAGTTTTCCTGGCCTGGCCTTTCTTCACTGGACCCTATGCCTTTCTGTCCAGCCAGCCCACTCTGGTTACTTTTCTCTGAACCTGTGTCTTTTCCTGGTCACTGCCATGATGCCCTCCCCAGTCTGTCTCCTCCCCACCCAGATTCCACACAGAGTCAGTGTTGTTTGTTCTCTGTCTGAGAGGCCCCAGCTGCTCTGTACAGAAGTGGATAGGTCAGGAGAGAAGAAGGAAATACAAGGGGTTGTTAGGGTTTAAGGGATTGTCATGAATCCCAAACTAAAACCCGAGCCTGCCTCTGTGCCAGACTTCAGACCTGCAAAGTTTCAGCCTTCGGGGATGTGTGTGTGGTCCACGCCCACAGTGCCCTGATGGTCCTGCCCAGCTTGGGTCCAGAAGTGAGCAGGGTGGTAAGTGACATTCTGATCTCAAGAGCAGTATGTCGGGGCTGCCTGGGTGGCTCAGTGGGTTAAGCCTCTGCCTTCAGCTCAGGTCCTGATCTCGGGGTTCTGGGATCGAGTCCCACATCGGGCTCTCTGCTAGGGGGAGCCTGCTTCCTCCTCTCTCTCTCTCTCTCTGCTTGTGATCTCTCTCTCTGTCAAATAAATTAAAAAAAAAAAAAAACAGTATATCACTGGATTATTGGAGGGTTTTTTCCTTTTTTTCTAATAAGCCATTAGTACTAGTCTTCTATTATATAAACAAGAAGTCTTTTTTTTAAATTTTTTATTTCTTTTCAGCGTAACAGTATTCATTGTTTTTGCACCACACCCAGTGCTCCATGCAATCCGTGCCCTCTCCAATACCCACCACCTGGTTCCCCCAACCTCCCACCCCCTGCCCCTTCAAAACCCTCAGATTGTTTTTCAGAGTCCATAGTCTCAAGAAGTCTTTTCTTATTAGTAGTAGTCTTTTACTCCACAAAAAAAAGCAAAATATGCTCAGAAAACACTCAGGGACACCTGGGTAACTCAGTTGGGTTAAGTGTCTGCCTTTGGCTCAGGTCACAATCCCAGGGTCTGCTTTCTGCCTCTGCCTGCCACTACTGTTGCTTGTGCACGCATGGTTGTGCACTCTCTCTCTTTCTCTCTTTCAATCTTGGACAAATAAATAAATAAAATCTTTTAAAAAAGAAAAATGTAAACAGCACAGAGGGTTTAGCGTAGAAAGTCCCCGTCTCCCAGCCTGGGTGTCTCAGTCCCGTGCCTGAGGGTTAGGGAGAATCATTTGACCGCTGTTAACTGTTCTCTTTGTTCTTCCAGACGTTCTCTGTGTGCATCTGTGAGAGCAGCACTCCACATCTTGGAATGTGTTGCAGCAGTGTTTGTGGGCCCCCCACCAAACCTCCTGTTCTCTTTCCAGCGGCCTCTCGTGCTGTCCCGCCAAAGTACGTGAGCGGCTCTAAGTGGTACGGTCGCTGGAGCCGGCCCGAGCCTGAGCCAGGTGGCCCTGCAGTAGGAGCCAAATTTTTACCAGAACAGCAGGCCTGGACCCCTGGGAGAGGCCAGCTCCGCCGCTCAGCATCTTTGGAAAGTGTGGAGGTGGGTCCAGTTCCCCTTCCCTACCCCGGGTCGCCATTTCATTAGTTATGGTGACATGACTACAAGAGAATGTGAGGACAAGTGGGCATTCCTGGGCATCTCAAGTCACCGGAAACATGGGTACACATTGGGAAATGACATTTCATTCTAAAGCATCTCTGGGTCTGATTGTCTGCAGGGAAGTTCTGGCCAGCGAGTTACTCCTTTAGATATTGGGGCAGCAGAGAATTGGTGCCCAAATCACTTGTTTCTTTCCCTCCCCTGCTTACGACCACCAGCTTTCCCCCAGCACTGCAAGAAGACTGGTTATATGGTTTCATAGGAGTGAGGAAAGAAAAGGAAGATGCTCTTCTGATGCTCCTGCAAGGTTAGGAATTTGGAAGTACCAAACCCACAGTCCCACCTGCCTTGAATACTTAGAACATACCAAGGCCCACACACTTAAAATTTGGTGAAGATGTACCAGACACCTCCCAGGGCCTTTGGGGTTAATTCTAGCCCTGCCTGTCCCTGAGTTGTTCACTGCCGCTGGGACCAACCCAGGAGATGGGCTGCTGGAGCCCAACAGCCTTTGTGTCAGGAAATACCCATGAGCAGAGCCACAGCTTTCAAGTTAACCATGGATTCCTTAGACCTATTTTCAAGATTTCAGAAGGTTCCTGGTTCCTGCTGTCGGTGATGTATACTTTGTCTGGTGGGGCTTTATGGGGACTTATTTTTAGTAAGACAGCTCTGGGCCTCTCACATTAATTTGTTTATGTGTTCAACATTTGTTGAGGCAAACATATCTACTTTAATCCTAGAGTCCCTTTGCTCAGGGGTGTTATATGCGTAGACAATACCAGCAAACCTCAGGTGTTCACTTTTTTGTCCTCTTTAATCTTTGGTCCTTAGAGTTGGAGGTCTGAGGCGTCAGCTCTATCTCCATTGTACCATTCTGCTTGGTAAAACCATCTTGGATCCCTAGAATTAGAACACGGGAAAATGTTGTTTTTAAGGTTGTTGGTTGGGCTGAATGCATTAGAAAAATTCCACTCTCATTTCAGTGCTGGCTCTGAGGGGTGCTGAGTCTTGGTCAACTTGGCATTCCTTCCAGGATCAGTCATGGGAAACACAGCAACTGTCAAAAGCAGACTTTGACTTTTAGTTGGCTGACTTGGCCACAATAACGAGGTTTTCACTTGAGTCAAGTGTTTCTTGGTGGCCTGCACTCTGCATGGTGCAGCTTGCAAAGGGCCCTGAGGTGTCAGGTGTTTGCTACACATTATGCTGTCCCTGGAGCTCTTGGAGAGACAGAGAAAGCCACTCTCCTTCCAACTGTTGACTGAACTGATAAGGATGATAAGGAATGGGGTGCGGAGAGGTGAGGACCATTAAGCTTATGTCAAGATGATGTGGTGTGATGGCAGGTTGACCATGCCCCACAGCCAGTCCTCTCTAGTGCTAGTGTCTGAAGCCAGTGCCACAAGGACCTGTTGATTGGGAAGCATTTTCTCTCCTTTTAGGGTACAAGTGCCTGATTATGTTTTTAGTGTGAACTACTGATTTTTGGTTTATGTTGAGGAACTTCCTGTATCCCTGTGTCTGCACTGTAGCACTTAGTCTGTGAGAGGGAGCTGCTCTGTGTCGGCGTCTCTCGGCCTGGGTGCAGAGCCCTCCTGCAGGTGTGGGCTTTCCCTCGAGGAGCTACATCTCACCAGCTTGTTGTTCCTCTTCCTCAGTCCCTTCCCCACCCCAGAACATACCTTTCTGTCTGTTCCTGGAGCTCTGGCCACTGCCGCATACTCTGGGGAATTTATATCTTTCTCTTTTCATTTTCACAGAGTCTCAAGTCAGACGAAGAAGCTGAAAGTGCTAAAGAACCTCAGAATGAGTTGTTTGAAGCACGAGGTAAAGCCACAGCTTCATGGTTGGTGCTGCCTCCCTTTGACCAGTGCTTTGAAGTTCAAGGAACTAGGTCATTAGGCAGTGAGCCAGCCATGTGTAATTTCCTGGGAAGCATGCAGAGTGGGTGGTGTCCCTGGGGAGCCCCCTATTCCAGAGGTAGTCCCAGCTGGGAGGTGGTCACTTGATCCTCAGCATCCCCTGGGGACAGACCCTTAGAGGCCGCTGGCTCAATGAGCAGTATGTCCTGCCCTGTCTCATAGTCTGCGAGGACCTGTGTGACCCCAGCTGGCAGGCATGGACTTCGGGTGGTCTCAGGTCTGTTGTACTGCCTTCTTGATTTGTCAGGCCTCGGCAGATCCTCTTCCTAACTGTGTGCAAACAATCTTGGCAGCTGTCAGTGGCCCTGTCTGTGCTCCAGAAGAAATGCCAGACATAATCCTGGTCCTCGGGAGCCTTGGAGGAATAACCAGAAGGCAGCAGCAGTGTACCCACATGTGGGTCTGTGGATGCCCTGAGCATGTCACAGGGCAGAAAGTACAGAAACTTGATTCAAAGGGAGAGACCTGAATTGCCCTTGAATTTCTGTTGGATTAAAAATCAGCAGCTGGAACCAAGCATGCTCTAGATTGTGGTCCTTAAGGACAAGGGCCACTGATCATTGTTTACTTTGGTGGATGTCTGAGGGACTGACCTGAGCACCCATCTGTGCTGCTGGACGAAGCACATAGATCAGGAAGAGCAGCCAGGCCACCACATCTTAACTTCCTTGGCCTCGAAGTATAAATTTAGGGCAGGAGAGGAAGGACTGGCTGGGAACGTTGTACATGGTGGGATTTGGGGTCTTCACCCGCAGGCTCCTCCTAGCCTTGAGCAGGAACCTTTGCACTGGATTAGAGCTGACAGTAGTGCATGAAACTCATATCAGACCTCAGAGGATTGATTTACCTCCTCTACCATTCCTGAAGAAAAAACCCTAGTATCAGAGGTGCTTTTAGAAATTTCAGACTCTTTAAGCTAGAAGGGATCTCAAAGAAGGCATTTTCCTCAGCCTGGCACAGTGCTGTTCGTGAGCACACAGGCCAGTATGGACTTGCCGTGGAGGGGATGTCTGGCTTGAAGCAAGGCTTATCCATGGATGGCTTCTCGTGGGCATGCCCACGTCTGTGTTCTTCCACAAGTTGTCTCTCTGGCAAAGCTCAGAAACATAAGTTTCTCGAAATTGTTTTTTAAATAACTTGTCTAGTTTTTTGGGTTTTATTTTTATGTGTGTTTTTTGGGGGTTTTTTTTGTTTGTTTTTTTTTCTTTTTGATAAATACAAATAATACAGCCTTCTTTTATGTGCTTTCAGTGGTCTGAATTCTGACTTAGGAGGTTCCCTTCAGAAAAAGCTTTCCCCACATGGACCACAAGGTTCCCACCACTGACATTTTATTATGCAAATCTGCAAACACAGAAACGAACAGCCATGTACCCATCACCTTTGACGCTTTGCTACTTGAGTGTCCATTTGCTTGTCCCTCTGGTTTCAGAGTACATTGCCAGCATTGGTGTGTTCCCCCCAGGTGCTTCCACCTAAAGCATAGGGTTTACCTGTCACTCTCCCTGCTTCAGGTCAGCTGCCAGCTTGGGGTTCTGAGGTCTTTGGGTGTCTCCAGAAGCCCTGCAGCCCCTCCTTGGACACCCTTGAGAGCCAGGTCCGGGTCATCTGGGAAGAGCTGGGTGTTGGCAGTAGCGGCCACCTCAATGAACAAGAGCTGGCCATCGTCTGTGAAAGCATCGGGCTCCAGGGACTGGAGAAGGAGGTGAGAGGGGCCAAGGCAGACCACACTGGAGGACGGGCTCTTTGCAATGGTCAGATTGATGTTGGGTCTGGGGAGTCCCTTCACTCTCCAGACACTGATGTGGTTGTACTACTTTCTGGTCGGAAGTCTTCTGATAACTCCCAGTGCTGCTGCTGAGGTCTGCACCCACGCAGGTCACAAGTGGCCTGCCTCACTGACATCTCAGCATCTTCACTCCTGACCCTTCCTCTGCCTAGAGTACACTAACCCCTTCTTGCATTGCTCAGGTCTACCATCCAGCCCACATATCATGCCCTCCGAAGCAGGCTGTGCTCCCCAGGGGCTGAATTCACCCCTCCTTCCTTCTGCAGGGGTGGGCAATGGTGATGGGGAAGCTCCCCCTTGGTAAAATTCTTCTTAGCTCTGCTGTCCTTGGTAGTTCCTGAACTGCTGGGGGCCCAGGGCACCTTCCATATGTATGTCTTCTTACCATCCAGTGAGTTCCTGGCATGGTAGACTCTGAATGGATATTTGTGGAATTAGGAAGTGCAGGTGGCATCCATTCACAGCAGGGTGGAAAGTGACCAGGTGTGGAGATGTCACAGGCCAGAGTCAAGGGAGGTCAGAGTGTCCCAGACAGTTTGAATTTGGTAAGGATGAGCAGACTGCCCAGCTTGGGGAGGGAAGGCCTGGGTGGTGGTGGCCTCAGCACTGGTGTGGTGGCTTTTGTCTAGGAACTGGAGGATCTATTTAACAAACTGGATCAAGACGGAGACGGCAGAGTGAGTCTTGAGGAATTCCAGCTTGGCCTGTTCAATCATGGGCCCACTTCACTTCCAGAATCTTCCACTCCTGTCAAACCGAGCATGTCCTGGTCTCATTACCAGGTAAAATGGGATGATTAAGCCTTGAACCACAGCAATAAGTGCTGTTGCTCTCTGGCCTTCAGCATCTTCGCAGACCTGGGAGTTGGTGGGGGTGTGTACACGTACGTGTGTCAGTGGGAGGCCATGTGACCTAGATTCTAGAACCACACAGGTCTTGTGGCCGATCTGGCATTGCCCCTCCCTAGCTGTGTGTCCCTGTTTGAGTTACTTGCCTTCTCTGAGCCACAGGCTCTTCATATGTAAAATGGGTGCCTCATTAGTATTCAATGAGGTTTACCTGGCAGCCTTCCTTGGTTGTGGGATAGGCTGCCTTCCAGTAGGAGAGCTCCTTCTCTCCTCCCTGTTGTGGTGCAGTGAGAGCATTCCATACCTTCCCTAGGAGTAGTTCCCCTGGTACTCCTTACCCTGTGCTCTCCCTGTCCTATATTCCTAAATTCTCTCTCTCATACAAATACCAGGTCACTGCAGATAGAGGAGAGCAGATTTGGGGCAGTTATTTAAATTTGATCTCAGGACACCTGGGTGGCTCAGTCGGTGAAACATCTGCTTTCGACTTAGATCATGATCCCGGAGTCCTGGGATCAGAGTCCCGCATCGGGCTCCCTGCTCAGTGGGGAGTCGGCTTCTCCCTCTGCCTGCCACTCCCCCTGCTTGTGCTCTCAATCTCTGTCTTTTCTTTCTCTGTTAAATAAGTAAATTCCTTAAAAATTTTAATAATAAATAAATGAGTTCATTGTGATCTCGTTTGGTGACTGTTGGCTTAGCATTTGGTTTTTCTCCATCCCAGCACAGGAAAACCTCCCTCTTCCATCACAGGGCATGGTTCTCTGAAGAGGCTTGCTGATGTGGCTGATCCCATAGTTTGTGGGCAGTGGTGCAGGACCAGTGACATTGTTTCTGCTAGGCTGGGTAATCTGAGAGTCCAGCTTCTGAATCTGAACCTGATGAGAATGGACAGAGAAGAAACTAAGAGCATTAAAGGAAAGTGTCAGGCCATGTAAGGTCAGAGGCCACAATGAAGTCCCACCAGCTTGTGCCTGGTGCCAGTGGAAGGAGGGTGCTTCCTCTGTGGTGGAGCTGTCCCTGTTCCTGTGTCCCAATGAGGAGGCACAGCTGGCCAGGGCTCTGAGCTGTGGGGCGCAAGGCAGGGCCCAAGGAACACCTGACTGCCCAGGAAGTGCCCTGAGCCCACATGGCTGTGGGTGGAGGGTATTGTGTCCTGTGTATGTGGGCTCTGGGGTGGCATGGTGCTGCTGGGCCCTCCGGTATACAGCCCAGCCCCCACCTTCTTCTGTTAGACACACCTGTCCTCAAGCTCACAGGCCTCACCAAGGAAACAGGTGGAAGGGAGATAAGGGTGGTCGGGGTGCATTTGGGCATCTGAGCTTCTCCACATGGCCATGGCCACGTTCCAAGCCATTCTTGAGCTTCTCGCTCCCCTGGGTCAAACGCTTGCTTTATAGGGCTGTAAAGTACCTAGCACAAGTTAGTGAGCACCAGTTCATGAGAAAGTGTTTCTGGAGAGGTAGGAATACAACTGTGAACAGATGAGGGTGTGTGGGTCTGGGAGCACTTGCTGAGGACTGAGTGTGGGGAGGGGGCGTGGTGGGCTAGGAGGGGCTGTCAGAGCAGAGCCCTAGGAAGCACAACCATGGAAGTGTTGGGGGACAGTGTTTTAGGCAATGAGACAAACTTGGAATGTTTGGGAATAGCAAGAGACTCCTGTGAGGGAGGTTGGAAGGAAGCGAGCAAGGAGGGGAGCCCTTGGAGTGTGGTGGAAGCCCTGGTGGCCAGAAAGAAGGGGCAGCTGCTCCTCATTCCTGTGGCCTCAGACAGCAAATGCTTGTTCTGCCTGGCAGAAAACAATCCTCTTTTTTTTTTTTTAAAGTTTTCTTTCTTTCTTTTTTTTTTTTTTTTTTTTTTTTTTTTTTTTCATTTATTTGAGAGAGCAAGAGAGAGCCTGAGTGGTGGGGAGGTGCAAAGGAAGAAAGGGGGTGGGAAGCAGACTCTCCGCTGAGCAAGTATCCAGATGCACTGCAGGATGCTGCAATCATGTCCTGAGCCAAAGGCAGATGCTTAACCAGCTGAGCCACCCAAGCGCCCCAGCAGAAAATAACCCTGCTTGATGACGGATTCTTATAGCCCATAACCGTAAGAGATCAGTTTTCTGGCCAAGAGATTTTTTCCCCTTCTTCTTAAAACTCCCCAGTTCTGAGGCTCCTGGGTGGCTCAGTCGGTTGAGCATCCAACTCTTGATTTTTGGCTCAGGTCTGGATCTCAGGGTCGTGAGATTAAGCCCCACATCAGCTCCATCCTCAGCAGGGAGTCGGCTTGTCCCTCTGCCCCTCCCCCCTGCTCACACTGTCTCTCTCTCTCTAATAAATAAATAAATCTTAAAAAAAACAAAGCTCAAACTCCCCAGTTCTGTCAGCTGTGAGATGTGTTTCTGAGGCCTGGGGAAATGTGTGACTTTGGGCCATTCCACCTCCTCTTTTCAAGCACGTCTCGGGTTTCTTTCCATAGGCTGGATTTTCTAGCATTGGCAGGTGCCATCTCCGCCATCTCCGGCTCTCCCGTTGAGAGGCCAGGTGCTCACCATTACTGCATCGGGGAGAGAGGTTAAAACTGCTTCATGTCTCCCACCAAGCAGCTTGTGCTGACTGGTCAGGCCACAAGGGCCCTAGGATGCGTTTCCTGGGCAAGACCTCTGGTGGACGGTAGGAGAGCAGGCACCAGGGTCCTTGCAAAGGCAGTGGGCTGGGTGTCCAGAGCCCTGGGTTCAAATATCCAAGTTGTTGCCCACAGAGCCATGCAGTCTTGGGCACACTGTGTGATGGTGCCTTGTCTCTGTTTCCTAGTCACTGTGTGAGTGGTTCTTACTGGGCCTGAACAAGACAGCGAAGGGCTGAGCATAGGCTGCTGAGGTTGGAAAATCCTAAAAATGGACAGGAGGCCAAAGTGCTGACGGGTCCCTTTGCTTTCCCTGCAGGTCCTGGAGGAGGGTGGCTGCCCGACTGCCACAACATCGTCCCTTGTGTCTGTGTGCTCAGGCCTGCGTCTCTTGTGCAGCATTGATGACGGCACTGGCTTTGCGGGTCCCGAGCAGCTCATCGCCCTGTGGGCCCAGGAGGGAATTCCGAATGGCAGGGAGATCTTGCAGGTCTGGAACTGGTCTCTTCAGAGCTGCCCCTGGGAGAACATCCGGGGGGACCTTGGGGCCCTCTGCACACAGAGGAGGCCGGACAGAGTGTCCCAGACACATAGGCCCTTAACTCTCTGCAGAGAACCCCATGTAGGAAAGGCCTGTTGGAATCACTTTCTTCTGTATTTTTTGCTATTAAAATATAGGAGATTTTGGGATGCCTGGGTGGCCTGGTCGGTTAAGTGTCTGCCTTCGGGTGGGGTCATGATTCCAGGGTCCTGGGATTGAGTCCTGCCTCTGGATCTCTACTTGGTGGGAAGCCTGCTTCTCTCTCTGTCGGCTGCTCCCTCTGCTTGTGCGTGTGCTCTCTCTCTCTTTCTCTGACAAATAAATGAAAATCTTTAAAATATAGGAGATTTTTAATTTAAAAAGATAATAAATAAGCAGAAAAACAACAGTCTGAAACAAATCCATTTGAAAATAGGTTTTAGTATACTGACATTCCCTTCAGTGCATTGTTAACCTTGGAGATGTTCTGCTTGCCTGGATGAGGGAGTCAGTCCCAGACAAGGGAAGGAAATTTCCTTCCTTGTGGTAGAGACTCTTACTGGATGTCACAGTCCCAGTAGTCTGAGTGTTTCCATTTGTTGAGGACAAGCTCTGTAGTGAACCTGAATTCTGTCAGAGCTGCCTGCCAGCCTGGGCAAGCTCTTCTCCCCACAGACCCCAGCTTGCCCAGACCCTCCCTCCACTGGGTGAGGCATGGAGAGGTGTGCTGCCTGGCTGTCCTCAGCGGGGGCCAGTCTGACTTCCCCCAGGAGCTTAGGGCCAGACCTTTGGGGTTTGGAGGGAGCCTGCTCTGGGAGCGGGACAAGGGTGAGGGAAGAACACACTGTGTGGAAGTGTATTGGTAAGCTAGACTGATGATCTTCATTTCTGAATTTGTTGTAAAAAAAAAAAAAAAAAAAGTGTCAACTGTAGAGAAAATTTAAAGAAAAATAGTAAAGCCTGATCCCCTTTGCTCCCACTCTGCAGGAGGAGCAACCTAACAGCTTAATGGGAGTACTATAGAGCCCTTCCCCAACACAGAGAAGAAATACGTATTTTAGATATTCCAGCTTTAAAATTTTTTTTGCAAAATCTGTATACCATATACTTGTTAATTTATGTTACCTTTTCTCTGTTGTTGTACATGTAGATTTTTTTTCTGTTTTAAATCTTGGCATTTAAAATGTATATGTATCTTCCTGTTTCTATGCTGGTATTTCTTTGTAGGCCAGATTCCTGAAGCTATGAGTTTTAACTCTTGATAGGTTTCATCAGATTACCTCTCAAAATGTGCCTATTAACACAAACTAACACTACATGGAGGAGTCGAGCAACAGCCTCTAAGACAGGCCTCCTGACACCTTGAGCCAGTCCCTCCTGGACCTCAACTCAGCCATTGCTGAATGTGACCACCCAGCAGCCTGGGTGGAGCCTGAACAGCCAGGACAGGCCTGGGCACCTGGCCCTTGGAACTGTTCTGAGAGCCACAGGCCAAGCCCAGGTCACCAGATTGGCCGCTAGGGAGGGTAGAGAGCAAAGGAATTCATGGTTTGGGGATTCTCCCTGAAACTATGTTCTGATTCCCTGTCATTTGGAGGTGGGTCAGCTGCCATCATAACCTGACAGATGGTGAATCTCAAATTTGCCTCTGACATTTCATAACTTAACATTTTTGTTGCTTTCCTGCTATCACAGAGTATTTCCAGTTCTTTAGCAATTTATAATTTACCAGTTGCATTCTAAGTTTGCTTTCATTATGTTGAAAGGCTACGATGTTTACTGAACTCTCAGCACTTGGCACCAAGCAAGGACCTGTGAAGTTTGTGATGTTATTTACTCCTCATGCAGCCTGGAAGGTGTTTCTGTCTCATGTGACAGATGGGGTGGCTGCCTGTGCACCAGTAAGTGGGACAGGTGGTCCAGGTCCTGGCATGCCGAGTCAGGCCCCTTCCTGCCCGCAGCACTCTCAGAAACTGCTTACCTGTGACGTTGGTGGTCAAGACCACAGGCTGCTGCCTAAGGAAGCACCCAGCTGAGTGAGCCCTCAACCTGGACTTGTTGGTGTCATGTACCCAGCTTCTCAAGACGCCTGGCCATTTCAGGGCACTTCCTGGCCAGGCCCTCAGGGATGCTCTGTGAGGAGGCCTGGGATTGGTTATCTGTCCCTCCTCAACAAATCACCATTGAATTACACCTTCACACACGATGACTGTTCTTATACAGAACAGCTTCTGTGGGTCAGGAATTTGGGAATTAGTGGGTAGTTCTAGCCCAGGGTCTCCCCTGAGGTTGGTCAGAGGCCTTGTGAGAGCCTGACTGGGGCCGAGCTGCTTCTTCCAAGTTGGCAGATTGATACTTGCTGTAGGTGGGAGGGCCTCCTTTCTTGCACAGGGCCCCTTCCTCTGACTGCTTGAGCGTCCTCACACCTGGGCAGCAGCTTCCCTGGAGCACCATCTCAGAGAGGGTGGGGAGGAGGCAATGTGTCTGCCACACCCCAGCCTTAGAAGCTGTATGCTGTCACCTCCTCAGTACTCTGTGGGTCACCTGGGCTGGCCCTGCTCGGTGTGGAAGGAGAGGCCCTGGGAGTGGATACCAGAAGGCGAGGGGCACGGGGCTGTCTTGGAGACCGGTTTCTACCCATCCCTTGTGGGTTTTGATGACTCCTTTCTCCTTGACCAGGAAGCTGTTGCTGTGACCTGTCATGTTTTTGCCTTCTGTCATTTCTCTTCAGAAGTGCTTTGGGAGGTGGGGGAGCAGTGGAAATCAAGAGTCTGTGGTATAAGTTAAAGGGAGCATGCCTCATTCCCACGTGTGATCTGGGAATGCGGTGGCTCTTTATCTACAGGCCCTGACGTGGTGCCTGCCTCTGGACTTGGACGTGACTGATTTTTTGACGTCATAGAAAGAAGCAGGGGTCAAGAACACTCAAGACGAGAAAAGCAAATGCAGCAAGTGTTATTAGTTGTGCAGAGGGGTTTACGGGTATGGTTTATTATTCCTGTGGTACAATACATGTAAATTGTTTTATTCTCTTATTTTCAGAACCCTGAGGGGAAAAGAGTGCTCCACTCTTTGTGGTGCTGGGCCATGGCTCGTCTGTCAGATCATTTTTCCACCCACCCGTACACACATTTCACAGAGATTCTATTAGCTTGAAATGATAACAACTCAACTCCAACTGGCTTAAGCAGAGTGGACGTTAGGGGCTCACCTGGACAGGCACTCGGGAGAAGGCGTCCCAGGGGTGTTGTCAGGGATCTCTGCACACTCCTCTGCTTGCTTCTCAGTGGCACTGAGCTCAGGTCAGGTCTCCTCATACAGCTCCCAGGGCCAGCAGGGTCCACACAGCAAGTTATTTCACAGGGAGAAAGGCGTCTCCCCTGGTCTCCTGTCAAGCCCCATGATGTCCTCTGCTTGGGACATCCATCTTCTGTGTCAGTTACTTTTTTAGGATGAGGGTCTCTGTCCAGCCTGGAGCACATCCACATCCATAAGATGAGTGGTATAGAGGCAGAGACTACACATAGAAAAGTTGGCAGGTACTGCCTATAGGACAGTGTGGATCTGGGCCCTGCCTCCTCTTAGGAAAGCCAGGAGGTGTTTGGAGAAGCCACACATCCTTTCCTGCCCAACAGACTTTGCTATTTCCAGAGTCTCGACTTCAGTGTGGACGAGAAGGTGAACCTTTTGGAGCTGACCTGGGCCCTTGAGAACGAGCTTATGATGGTTGGTGGTGCCACTCAGCAGGCAGCCTTGGCCTGCTACCGCCAGGAGCTAACCTTCCGCCAGTAAGAGCTCAGTGTGTTGGGGTTGGGGGGGTGGGCACAGCTAGCCAGCCTGCTGAGTGGTGGGAAGTCCCGGGAAATGGGCATTCTGCCCTTGTCTACCCCAAGCCAGTCCCAGGGGCCAGGGAGCTCGACACCACCTTTTCCACTGGCTCTCCTTTAGTGGGCATTTTGGGAGGACAGGGAAAGAGCTGAGTGCTCCCTATGCCTTGAGTGACATCCCTGTGTGTGGCCTGTGGGGGCCTTGCTGATTGGGTTTTTACAGCCACAGAATTTCAGAGTCACTGGCCTGTCTTCACACTTAGAAACTGATGTCGAGGTCCTCCCTTAGCCCCTGTTAGCAAGGTTCCAAAGGGGGCATTTGAACATGATGCTCATCCTGCTGACACTGGAGCTCTTGGATGCAGAGGCTAAAATCCTCCAGCCGGCAGGGATGTGTTCCAAGAGCACGCAGAGGGCTCCTGAGCTGGGGCGGTTGGCTGGGGAAGAGAACAAAGTGTTCCTCAACATGGTCACCAAGAGCAAAGTGAGGGGGGAGGGGCAGAGAAAGAGTTCCATTTTAGTTCAGCTTTCGATTAGCTGAGTATTCAGGCCATCTGTCTGCTCAGCAGATTGGCGTAAAGATCGTTTGTGTTTATTGGTGTTCCAAAGCTGCAGAAAAGAAATCATGATTTCTGTCCTCAAGATTTTGCATCCCGTTAGGAGCTGATGGGTGAGCTTTCTGACCTCAGGCAGCTCTGCAAATAGGACCCCAGAAAGACTCTGCCTTGGGAAGGTAGAGGAAGAAAAGCTCCATGCTCTTCAGGGGGAGAAATGGTCACCAAAATGGCAGGTGTCGGGGAGTGTAGAGCTGCAGGTGTGACCTGCTCTGGGGGACTCAACTGGATGTCAGGCTGCAGGTGTCGGGGTGTGACCAGGCAGGACGATGGGTGGCCAGCCTTCTCCCCCTTCATGTATCTAGTCCCAGATTAGGTGCTGAGGATCCCTGGGAGAGGAGACAGGAGGGGAGGGGGCATGGATAAATTTTCACCTGTTCTGGGCCATCCGAAGGTGTGGCACACTGTAAGGCTCTAGGTTCAGACTTCCTTGGTTCAGAAACATTCTAGAAACCTTCTTGACACATCATTTAGCCTCTCTCTCAGTATGTGCACCTGTAAAAGGGACAGAGTAATTCTGGAAACCAATTTCAGGAGATGGTTGGTGGTGGCAGTGAGGTCAGAGCACAGCACTGCCCACGCTCAGCACCCCGTTAATGCAGCCCCTTTTGTCATTCATGCAGACACAGGGCTTGCTGGACCCAGAGCAGGTGTCCTCATCTCACCCTGTTTCCTTCCTGTGGCAGGGGGCAAGTGGAGCAGATGGCAAAGGAGCGAGACAAGGCGAGGCAGGACCTGGAGAAAGCGGAGAAGAGGAACCTGGAGTTTGTGCAAGAGATGGATGACTGTCACTCTGCCCTAGAGCAGCTCACAGAGAAGAAGATCCAGTAGGTCTTGGGGTCATACCCAAGCCCAGGGTGGCAGCTCCTTAGCAGCTGGGTGGTGATTCTCTAGCGCTGGCCACGGGTGAGTGGTGGATGTGGCATTGCTGCTAGCTGAGGCTGTGGTCATGAACATACTGGAGCTGAGGCCCTCCTGTTTCACCTGAGCCAGTAGAAATCTTGAAGGTGCGCCTCTGGGAATGTCCTTCCTGGAAAGAAGAGGGGTGTATTTAAAAAACAGCCTTGTTCTTTATGCTGTGGGGACATGTGCAGGGGCATCCAGCTATGTGTGCCTGTGGACTGCAGGGAAAATTCCCATTCTCTGCTTTATTAATGGGGTCTGTCCCACTTAACCCGGGTCTTCTGTATGTGCCTGTGGCTGGTGACATGGATGAATGCTTTGAAAGAGGGCTGGTGAATGGTTTGGGAGCCTGATGAAAGGAGCCTGGCATGGTGGGAGAAGCCCAGAGCCTGAAACCTGACCTCAGACGTTATGAGGTACAATGGGTTAAGCAGACTCCTGGTGAGCGGTCTGTTGCACTGGTGGGGCTGGTGGCTGCACAGACCAGAGGGAAGGATTTCTGACCTTTTATGGAGACAAAACCCCCCTCTCTGGTTTATTAACCAAAATGTGAAGAAATCCAGCCTGAAGATCAGCCCCCAGGCTAGGGCAAGCAGAGGAGGGGCTTTTCACCCCACTGCGGGGAACAGTCTGTGCTATGCTTCCCTGGCAGGGCTGAGCTGGTTGTTCACTTTCTGGAAGCTTTTGTCACCTGGAGGTGTCCCCTCAAGGATAGCAAAGGGTGTGCATTGTGGAAAACCAGTGTGCTATACTCAGCTCTCGGTAGTTGTAGTAGTGGGGGCACTGGGAGGCTATGAGCCTCCCACCTCATTCTCCCTCAGCAGCCCTTGCTATGACCCTGGGTGGACGGAGCCCCTGAGATTCCTCAGCTGTGAAGTGGGAATGGTGACAGACTGTGCTCTGGGTGGGAGGCTACCAGTCCTTGTGTTTGAGCCCTCAGTGGGGTTTGGTGCCTGTAGCCACCAGGCACATCTCATGCCTGCGGGTAGCTGAGCACAGGCCTCCTCGAAACGGGTAACTTAAGGAAGAACTCAGGTGGTGTATGTGGCTTCAACGAGCAGGTGTGTGAGAGCCTGTGATAAGCCAGCCATCTGGTTCCTGCATCTCTGGGATGTTGCCTCTCACTGTCTTGTGTGGTTGCATTTGAAGGGAACCCTTTCCTCACCCCAGCCTTGCTGGCAGTGTTTGACATGACCTACATGAAGCTCCCACATGCGTGGCCCTGGGTGGGCAGTGTACAGACATTTTACCTACCCCCATCCATCTTACAGCAGGCTTCTGAGCACCATCCCAAAAAGGCCTACTCCTGCCATGTGTGGGGACTGTCACGGTCACAGTTACAAAGCCCTCGCCTCCATGGCTCACAGTGGGAGGGATTGGAGACATCGAGGGGTGTAGCCTGCTTTCCTGGGGCTCCGAGGTTCACAACGTGGCCATAGTGGATACGGGGGGTGGTTTCATAGCCATACAGGGCCAGTTGATTGTGCCCAACTGAACAGTAAGGGTCGAAGACCAAGAGCCCGTTTCATCTTCAGCAGAGATGCTGGGCGCCTTGCTTTCACTGTGCAGCTGGAGGTCTGTAGGTTGAGGAGCCCCTCAGCCCCCTAGGAGGGAGCTTCTGTTGCAGCCTGGGAAACTGTGATATGTTGTGCTCCTGTTGTGCACTGGGTATCCTGACTCCGCAGCCATAGTTATCCAGATAGGCCATTTTGGCCCCATTTTTCAGCCAAAGAAACTGAGGCTTGTAGCAGTGTAGTAGCATGCCATAATCACACAACCAATGTGGCCTAAAAGTTGAAGCCAGGTCTCCCATCTCCTTGTCATATGCTTTCTCTGAGAAAAGAGAGTGTGAGGCCCTGGTCTGCCTTGTATTCAGAGTGTAAGAAAACAGACCCTTAGGCAGAAGGAGCTCTTCCCAAGCTGAGGTCACCTGGAGTCACATACTGCCATCCTAGGTCAGCACATGAGAGGGCCCCACCGGCTCACCCTCCCATAGGACCCATGCACTAGGGGTTCCAAAGGAGGGTACTGCCTATCCCTACTGGTCTGTGGGGGAGCAGACTCAGAGCTGAGCAGGGCCACCCATCTGAGTCCACAGGCCTTTGGAATCGCAGAGGCCTCAGACAACCTTTCCTTCCTGGGGGTGGCTGGGGAAGGCCAGATGCAGCAGGCTGAGATCCTGGTCTGCTCTCCAGTAGAAGTCCACACCTACCTCTGCCTGGCTTGGAGAAGAGGTGTGCAAGAAGTGGCATCAAGGCTATAGTGTGGAAGAGTGCTTGTGTGTGTGTGTGTGTGTGTGTGTGTGGCTGTGTGAGTATATGGTGTGTATGTATTCCTGCATGAAAGACTCTCACAAGATAATGGGATGTTCAGGAGACCATCAGCAGGGCTTGGTGCCTGTAGCCTGTAAGGATACTTTCATCAAATTTTCAAAAATATTTCTAGTCAAACCTGAGAAAATAAATAAACATGGTCTCACTGTAAGGAGGTGGTAGTAAGGCCATGGAACCCCGGGTGGGGAGACCAGCCATGATACCGTGACTGAGTAGCTGGGTGGACGTGCTGGCTGTGGCCTTGCTGAGCTGCCCTTCCCTCCGTGTGGAACATGGGTGGTGTTTTTCGCAAGGGAGGACTTAGGTAAGAAATAACTGCATATTGTTTCTGCTCCTGTCAGCAATCGACAGTCTGTATTCAGCTGATTCCCTTCTAGCATCCAGCCACAAGCCTCCCCACTGACCACTTCTAACTGAGCAAGTGTCTGTGGGTGAAATTAGAGTCCTTAGCTGGTTGGCTTTTGCAGCTGCTGATGTATGATTTTGCTCACCTGGTGTAGTCTCCTTAGTTCCCTGATCTCACAAAATAGAGTGTGAGGTCATCTTGGGTTTCCACAGAGTGAGCCTCTCTCAGTCACAGCGTGACTGAAGGAACTTTGGAAGAGGACAACAGAGGGATTGCAGACATACTTATTCCCTTCTCGGTGCCTCCCCTGCCTCCTCATGGCCCTTCTAACAGCATGGGTCTGTTGGTAGACTCACCACTGATGTTGGAGGCTTGGAATCTGGCCTGAGCAGGAGAGGGACTGATTCTGGTGCCACTGAGACCTTGGGTCGCAGCCTCCTAGGGACCATGGGGCAAGAGGGGCCCACAGGGGCCTGTCTAGAATCTGGAGCAGCCTGACTCCCACATGATCTTCCCGTCTGCCCTGCACTGCCATGTGCCAACCCTTGGTTAATGTTGTTCAAGGGAGAAAATTCCTTTTTAAAGAATTGTGTCCAAGAGCTAAATGTAAGTTGGTTTTAGATCAGTTTATAACTGAAAATTGATTTGCTTCAGTCATGGCATATTAGGCTTGCTTCTCTCCCAAGCACATGGGAAGAATTTTCTGATATCTTTCCTGGGGTCAGAGAATCACAAACTTGGAAGCCTTATCTGGTCAAGGGGTCCATGAAGGCCCTGTGAGTTTGGATTTTGCCCCAGAGTAATGGAGCATTATCAGGAGTTTTTAGAAATAGCTGTTATGGCTGCATTTGGGTTTTTCTTATTATAAGAGAAATAAGTGATACATGTTCATTATTGAAAAACAAGTAAAAGTAAAAATAAAAGCAGAAATTTCACTCAGAGCTTATCACTCCTGAAGTTTTTTATGTCCTTTACTTCTTTTTTCCACGCACAGAATTATTTACAAAATGGTATCATATCATATATGCTTTCATGATGACTGCAGAGCATCCCGTTATGTGCATCTGCCATATTTTATTTACCCATTTTTCTTTTGTTGGATATTTCTAAAGCTTTTAAAGAATGCAGTGATATGGTCAAATAGGTGTTTTTTAAAACTACCCCAAAGGTTTGTGGAGTGTTACATTAGCTAGATTCATCTTATTGTTTTCCCCTAAGTAATAGCTGCCCTTTCTCCATCTCCTTTCCTGCTGGGTGTTCTTTCCTTAAAGTTCTGAGATGAGAAAGTCTAGACTGTCTGGGGCAGGGGTGGGAGGGACAGTCTGGGGAGAAGGACAAACCCCTGGTGTTCTTTGCTGAATTATTAACATTGCCAAGCCCTCTGCTAAATGAAGTAAGAGTTTTGATCCTCTTCATTCTAGAGAGACTTGGTTTGAGAAATCCTGCTAAGCAATTGTTTCAGTGATAAAACTAAGATTTGGGGACACCTGGGTGGCTTAGTCGGTTGGCGTCTGCCTTTGACTTGCGTCGTGATCTCAGGGTCCTGGGATCGAGCACTGCGTCAGGCTCCCCGCTCAGCGGCAAGTCTGCATCTCTTTGCCCCTCCCCCGTTCTTGTGTTTTCTCTCTCTCTCTCTCTCAAATAAATAAATCTTTAAAAAATAAAAAATAAAATAAAATAAGATTTAGCACTTTTTCTGCTGATATTTCTATCAGTTCTTACAAAAGAGTAAGCAGAAACTGAGGGGGAGAAATGCCTCCTATCTTCCCCTCTGATTGCTTTGGGATTCGCAGTCTGCAGGTTTTATGTTGCCTGGGTCCTGCAAGAGGGGCTTACTTTGGTACACAGCTGGTTATCCAGGCTGCCCTGCTGTGGGAGGTCGCTGAAGGGCAGAGGGCATCAGAGAGGTCTACCCACAGAACGCACTGGCTAGCTTACTCCAGAGGCTCCAGGGACCTGCTGGCCTCCCTTGTCACCTTCCTAGTCCTGGAGGGTGTGGGGACACATCCACCATCAGGCCCAGGGTAGGGGGGCTTTAAAGGAGGACCCCTGCCCTTACAGCATGTGCAGTTTAGCCAAGGCCCAGTGACCCCATCTGTCAAGCAGTAACAATTGAGTCCCAGACAGTGTGGCCAAGTGCTACAGGCAGGAAGGTTCCAGGGAAGAAAGGCCAAGTTGCCCAGGGGATGTCCCCCAAGAGGAGGGGGTCATTACGGGTCTGGGGGTCCCCTTGGGACTCAACATGACATATTGACACATGACTGGGTGTCCTTCACAGACATCTGGAGCAGGGGTACCGGGAAAGGCTGAGCCTCCTGCGATCTGAGGTGGAGAGGGAACGTGAGCTGTTCTGGGAGCAGACCTGCAAGCAGAGGGCCGTGCTGGAGAAGGACCTGGAGCACCTGCGGGCCGAGGAGGCCAGCCTCCGGGAGAAGCTGACCCTGGCCCTGAAGGTAGATGGGGAGCAGTGTTTCCCCAGGTCACCCTGCCCTGAATGACAGTAAGGAGGTCGCCTGAATGTTCATCCTCCCACTCCCCACATTTTCCTAGTCAGGAGCTGGAAACCTCCTAGGAATCTTAAGTTTACATTACCATGGTAGGGAAATGCCTGGGATTTCTAACTGAGTAGCATCAGCTGTGGCCAGAGAGAACACATTTCTCAGCCAAAGCAGTAGGGTCCTGGCTTTTCCACAAGAGGCATTGCCTCTTCCTTCTCTCTGGTCATGGGGGACCTGTAGAGCTCTTACTTTCTGCTCTGGCTCAGGGTGACAGTGGTCAGAGAGGGTCAGCAGCCGCAGCCAGCTTTGCTGCATGCCCTCCCCACCCTGAGACCAGAGTGTCTGTGGGATCAGCAAAATCCCAAAACCTAAAGCTTACCCTGCTGGAGTTCTGGGTGTGTAGCATGAAGCAAATGGGGTTTTCTGGGCTTTGGTAAATGTCCCATGACCCATACCCACCCTACATTTGGTTCTATCCACTGAGCTGTCCCCAGGCCCCATGTCTCCTGGTCCCTCCTGGGCTCCTGCCTTCCTCTCCTAACTCGGAGACAGCCGATTCTTTCCACATCTGCCTGGTCTCTGTCTCCCTGGGGGAGAAGCTGTGTCCTTGCCTGAACTGTGTCCTTACTACTCTTCTCACTGGTTCCCTGTGTCTATGGGCACTGCCTTCTTCCCCCAGGGGACATCTGAGCTGTGAGGGTCCCATTTCCAATCCCTCTTTCAGACAACAGCTCAGAAAGGATTGCCTCCAGCCTCTTCTTGTGTTACTCATAGCCTCCTTGAACATTCAGGGCGGGAAAAGAAGGGGCAGTGGGGAAAGCGACAGGCACTGGTGAGGGGCTCTGTGGTGCTGGTCCCCAGCACAGCCTCCACTGCAGGTGCCAAGGCAGTGAGCACCAGTCATGCTGCATTTGCAGGTTTCTTTCATGATTGTGAGTGCTGCTGAGGGAAAAGTCCCTGATGCAGAGGGGAGACAGGCTGCCCACAGCTCTGTCCTTCACTCCCAAAGTCCAGCAAACTGCTGGCTTGTGTCTTATAGGAAAACAGTCGATTACAGAAGGAGATTATTGAAGTTGTGGAAAAGCTTTCGGAATCAGAGAAGCTGGTCTTGAAACTTCAGAATGACCTGGAGTTTGTGTTGAAGGACAAGGCAAGTCCCTTTGCTGATTCTGAGTTTCTGGGTTCTGCGTAAAAATTGTCAGGGACTTGAAAAAGAATACATAGGTGAGTGAATTCAGTTATTTCCCACTACAATGCTAGAATGGAGAGAAAAGCAGCAGGGTAACTCTCCTTCTGTGTTCTTCCTTTTTGTGCCAGTGCCAGGGTACTTGTACACTAGCGACGCTATGCCTGCTGGACATTTAATGACAGTGCCATCTGCACAGACCCTCATGATGGGTTCTCAGTGGTGAGGGACACAGAGGAGAGCTCCATGCCCATCATGAGATGTCTCCCTCTGGCCCTGCCCATCACTTTGAGTAAAGGAGGGAAGGAGAGGTGCTGCATGAGGGTGTCCCAGGCATCTGAGGCAGGAATGCACCCCAGGCTCCAGCTGGGAGTAGGACCACCTTCCATGAACTCAGAGCCTCCTTTTGCCTTGAGGTCTTTTAAAAGAGAGGAGGGAGGAGGAAGAGGGATGGAAGATTGTACCTAGAGATGCTGAGCCTATTGGGAGGAGCACGAGAGGGTAATAACACACATTCTACCTGGCCTAAGGTCCTGTCTGTCATTTTCCTGTGTGGGTCTGACTTTTAGCTGGAACCACAGAGCACAGAGCTCCTGGCCCAGGAGGAGCGGTTCGCGGAGGTCCTAAAGGAGTATGAGTGCAAGTGCCGGGTACGTGCCCCGCCCAGCCCCCTTTGCCAACTTGAGCCATCACATTGCCTTTGTCTTGTACTGGGGCCATTGCTCTTGTCTTTGGTGCATGGAGCTCTCATGCACCCCTGCCCCACACCCTCTCCCTTCACCCAGCCCACTTTGCAGCAAGAGTGATGGTGCTGGGGAAGGTACTAAGAGCTTGGCCCTCTAGAGATCTCCTGGTGCCAGAAGGCCACATAGCCCTCCTTAGCCATGCCTGCTAAGAGCGGGTGTGGAACTCATGGGATGGGTGGGTGGTACAGGTCATCAGGGTCTGACTGGTTTAGATCTGGATGGTGGTATGCACGTCTTGTCATTCATGGCGGGCCACATTCCTGGCCTCCACATGAAGGGTAGTCCAGCATGTCTTGGCAGGAGCATCCTTGCATGTGCAGAGCAGGTGGAGCCTCTGATCTCAGCCTGTATTCTACAGACAGGGCCCCCAAGTCTCGTGTTCCATAAAGAGGGGGGACCCAACTTGCCTACACAGTGCCCGTGCTCAGCCCCATGGGGCGGGCCAAGGGTGCGAGACTGGCACCAGTTCTGAAGGCACCATGCAGGTAGCCACACCTCGGGGGGCCATCCGTTCAGTTAGAGACACCACAGAGCAGGGCAGAGGTGATGAACAGTGTCATTGGTGCTGAAACATACCACCACCCTGTGACACTCTTAAAATTATCCAGGATCCCAACAGCTAAAACATTATTGTATGATCTTAAGGGTCTATTACCAATTCACTTCTTAATGATTTCCCTCCAAAGTAAAGTCAGAATTGACTTTGTTCCTGCTGCATGTTGCTTTGGCAACACCAGAGGATAAAGGTGAGCATGCGTGCTGTTCAGGAGTGTGATATAACCTACTGCTTTCTGCCCTGTGCTCTTTCCTCCACTCCCAACCCCGAATACTAGGGTGCCCTTCCGGAAATTCCTGTGTGTGTGGTCGGCTGTGGCACCCTCCTCCTGACCCTCCCCCGGGCGTGTGCTGGATTGGGTTGGGGTGTGTCCTGATGGTTGGGGTGCAGTGACATGTCATGTTTCCTCCCTCCTTTTAAGCTTGTTGCCTTGATTTAGAGCCTGTAACTAACTCAACTAATATGCTACTTTAGTGCCCTGGATCTTTCTAACAGGCATAAACCCCATCTTTCTCTCACAGAACTCTGTTACTCAAAGAACTGTTACTCACTTCACTTCTGCTTCTTGAAATTTGACTTTTTGAAACATCAGAAATATAGTACATGTTAGTGTTAGTTAATCTATTTATTTAGAAATTGGTCTTTTCATTCTTTGACTATTTTTGCTGTTTCAAACTTACATTTAGAGCATTAAAAAAGAACCTTTTTATTGGAAAATAATTTCTAATACATGAAGTTACAAAAGTAGAAACAGTGGCAAGGGCACCTGGATACCCTTTGCCCACATTCCCCTGTTGTTTACATCTTACTCTGTGTGCACATTGTATACTTGTTTGCTGTGTGTGGATGTGCATACACAGGGATTTTCTGAACATCTGGGAGGGACTGACATGCACCATGGGGCCACTCTACCCTTCAGCAGGTCGGTGCGCTTTTCTGACCGGGCTTAGTCCTACTACCTTGCGGAGGGGTGTGCAGATGCCCCAGAGTTGATTGTTAAGAGTTCATGAGTTTTGGCAGCTTCTTGTTACACTTTGGAAAGCTTGAAATCAGCTCTGGTGGGAGTTACTTACACCACAGAAATGTGCCAAAGCCAGAAGTCTGGGCTTTTCTTCCTTAAGACCCAGCTTCCCATTCCACCTAACTGTGGCACACTTAGTAACTTTCTGATTCCCGCTGATACAATATCTTAACCTGCTAGTCATATTTCTGTTCTGTTAGTTAATCTAACAGTGTCCTTTAGACCTTTCCCCTGTAGGACCGGATCCCGCGGAGGGTCACATGCTGACTTTGGTTGTCATGAAACATTCCATCTCAGGCCATTCAGGCTGCTGTAACAAAGACGACACAGGCTGGGGGGCTTATAAACAAGAGATTCTGTTCCCATAGTTCTCAGCCCCAAGTGGTGAGTTACAGAGACTACCCCAGTGGAGCTGCCTCGTGAGATCACTCTATTTGTACTGACAGGGAGATTGCAGGAGTCATTAAAACCCAGGGAACAAGGGAAAGCAGGCTCCTTTTAGTAGAGTTTGGGATGAATATTCAGAGGGGATTTTCACATTATAATGAGGCTGAGGGAACTGTGGGTCACTTCTGGCACTTTCTGCTTCATCTGTAGTCCAGCCTCTTCAAATGCTTTTTCCTTTCTAGCAGTTAGTTTGTTTTTAAAAGGTGAGATTGACAGCTAGGCAGAAGGCTTAAGGAGTTTAGTTCCTAAAAAGTAAGATGAACAGTTAGGCAGAAGCTTTTGCTAGAAATTTCCTGAGCCCTGGGGGTGGAGGTGGGGGGCTCAGGCCAGCCGGGTATCTGGTGACAGCCCTTTTCCTGGGACAGACAGAAAGCTGCCTTCAAGGGAGCTCTAGGGTCTCTAACAGGAGGGCACTGATCTGCTTCATGAGGCTCCACCCTCACGACCCGATTAAAGGTCCCATCGGGTCCGCCTTCAAAACCTTCACCTTGGGTGTGAAGATAACCTGGAATTGGGGGTGGGGAGAGGGCACATCCAGCCTACAGGGCTTTCCTCCAGCTTTTGTCTCTGACATGGGTATTTTTAAAGTGATATTTTAAAATATTCTTACTTTGTGTTTTTCTGATATTTCCTTTGGATTAAATTGAGATTATGTGTTCTCAGGGGGACGCATCAGTGACGTTAATTTTTGATCACCTGGTTAAGGTGTTGCCTAATTTCCCCACTGTATAATTACTGTTTGTTTGTTTTTTTCTCCCATGCAACTAAATGAGCAGTCAGTGGGGAGACACATAAAGACCACATAAACATCCTGCTCTTCATCAGAATTTTCCCTGGGTTTAGTCTCTGCTTCAGTCTTTACCATGATGGTTGCCAAAGGATGATTTCCCAAGCCCAGCACCCAACTCCACACCTATAAGTTGACCCTTGGAATTCTCCCATGAGCCAGAGGAGTCCTGCTACTCTGCTGTTTTTGCTGCTAGAGCATCACAGTCAGTCTCCAGATGTGGAGACTTTCAGCCTTCCCCACAGGGCATCTCCCAGCCTTTCCAAAGTCACTGCTCAGTGTTTCCCTGTATTTTGTGACCAGGATATTTGTTAGCAAGGAAACCATGCTTTCCCTTGTTGCCAAATCTTCTTCCTACTTAACTATCATTTCAGCTTCTTGTCATTTCCTTCAACTCTGAGTCTCCATTTTCTCAGTGAGGCTGCCTTTGTTAAAGGGGAGTGTTAAGTGTTAATCAGAGTTCTCTGTTGTTTCATGTTTCTGCTGTTGCCTTGGGTGGACACTGTAATGGAGGAGCATGTCCTTGATCAGAAACCCCAAATGTAGATTTTCCCTCTCTGCATTTCCACACTGTTACCCATGGAATGCTTGTGTGTCCCCAGATTCATATGTTACAGCCTATTCCTGCAGTGTGACGGCCTTAGGAGGTACCGAGTCTTTGGGAGGTGATTAGGTGAAATGTATTAGTGCTTTATATAAGGGATATAGAGAATATCCCTTATATAAGGGATCCCAGAGAGCTCCGCCATCTGTTCCACCATAAGGACACAGGAAAAGATGGCCATCTATGAACTGGGAGGCCCTCACCAGACCTTAAATCTGTCGGCACCTTGATCATGGACTCTAACCTCCGGAACTACGAGAACTAAATTTCTGTTCTTGATAATCCCTGTCTGTGGTATTTTGTTATAGCAGCAGAAATGGACTGAGACACACACCAGCCCTTACCAAGGTCCCCACCATTGCCCATCCCTGAGTGGTTTTTCATCCCCCCCATTATGTGTGTGCTTACCTGGGCCTCGCTTGTAGCTCCAGCCAGCCTGCTGGCACCCTCTTCTTCTCCGATGCTTCCCAGTGCTGCCGTTGAAGTCCCACCCTCCCCTCAGACCCTTAGTACTGCAGGATTCTGGAAATGGGCTTGTTGCCATTCCTGGCTGGTGTAGTTGCACCTTTGGCACCCATAGGCACCCCAAGTAAGTGTGAGTCCCTGTGGAATTAGACATGTGCCTGGCTCCCCAGCCCCACCAGACACCCCTTGTGTAGAGTTGGGGGCCATGGCTGGTGCCTAGGCTGGTGCATGTCACCCTCATCAGTTAGAAGTGGCCACGCTCCCTGCTGTGTCCTCAGAGCAGAGACGTCTATCCCCAGCATAGCACATAAGAGAATCTGCTTTCTGGCACTGCTGAATTTCTGGGATGTGTGTGTATTTTCAAAATTTCCAATACAAGGTACACATATAATTTTAAGTTTTCCGATAGGCACATTAAAAAAATGTAAAAAGTAATAGGTGACATCAATTTTAATATTTTATTTAATTCAGTATATCTACAATGTTACCATTAAATCCTTCTTTTAGAATCCAGTCTTTGAAATTCGGTGTAGATTTTAGGCTGCAGCACACTTCCATTCAGACTCACCACACCTGAGATGCTCGGTGGCCTGTGTGGTGAGTGCTGCTTTCTTAGACATCCCAGGGCTGGAGCAGCAGTGACCACAGGCTATGTCAGGAACCAGGGGGTGCTTGCTCTGCTTTGCACACTTGTCCCAAAGCTCTAACTTTCTGCCCTGCCCTTCCCCCCACCCGAGACAGAACTACTTCCTCCATGGGGAAACTTGCATATTTGTCTAGGAGATTCTGAATGAGGTACAATGACCCTCTGTGAATCTGTGCTTCTGATAAAATCTGTGCAGAGCCTGTCACTTCTCCCACCACCTAGAACTGCCACTGAGAGGCTCCTTCTCCAGGGGAGATGCAGTCACAGGCCAGGCGCTGGCCTTTAGGAACAGTTTTGGGAAGATGATGTTTATTCAATGAGAGCCTCCTGGAGAGGATACTTAAATAGGATTAAAAACCCAGTGAGGGATATGGAGCCTTGTGGATGTGCCAGGGGCTGGGCCCCAAGTCCTCTCCATGTGGCCTTAGCTAGCTTAGGCTTCCCCCAGAGGGAATATCCCAAAAGGAGAAGCTAGTTAAAAGCTGCACCCTTGGAAGATGGGGCATCACTTTTGCCATCACTTTTGCCATGGGGCAGTCACAGGCCTGCTAGGCTTCCAGAGAAGGAGGACACAGACCCAGAGTCATGAGTGGACATGGCAACACAAACAGCTGTGGTGTGCTGGCTATGGGACTGTCTGAGAAAGTGACTATTAACTCTACCCTTTCTAGCCATTTGAAAAACAGGTGACCAGGTGTACTTGTTGAGATGTTTCTTTCACGTGTGGACAGAATTACACTGGTTGCAAATGTGACCCTTCCTCTGAAGCGTTCATGACCCTCCCCAATCCCTCCACTTCCCCCAGGGTGCGTGCTCACCCAAACCCCATCCTTTCTGTTTGGTACGATCATCTTGGCTCTGTGGCCCTTGGTCTGAAGCACCTGGTATCGTCTTGGCTCAGTAACTGTAGAAAGAACACTTCCCAGATTCAACAGCAGCAGAGGAAAGAATCCCAGGACACATCCTGGGACCCTGCTGTCTCACACCCACGTCACAACATCCCTGGGGTTTCAGCTCTTATGGTTCTCTGTGTTTTCTACACTTCTCCTCAGTTTCCACTCCACTCTCTTTTTTTTTTTCTGAACCCGTCCTGTATATGGAGTGCTCAAAAGTGGTGCAGGGTCCTAGAAGGTTGAGAAGTGGCCCCTGCTTTTGTTTGGCTCACTTAGGAGGCAGGAGAGCCGCTGAAGTGTTGTGTGCTGGCAGTCAGTGCCTGGCACTCAGCTGCTCTCTTGGCAGGCGGGCTTCACACTGCTCCGCTCCACGCCGCTCCTCAGGCGGCTGCTCTGGCTGCAGGGGGTGTCTGGCTCTGCCCTACAGGACCTGCAGGACCGCAATGACGAGCTGCAGGCTGCACTGGAAGGCCTGCAGACACGGTTGCCCCCAAGCTGGCATAGCCAGCCCCATGCGCAGCCAGAGGAACGGCTCCTCTCTGGACACGGACCAGCAGGTAGGATCCCAGTCCTGGGAGGTGATGGGTAGTGTGCTCCTGCTGTGGGAGACCAGAGGCTGGTGGCAGTGGGTGTCTATCTTCCCCCCACTGCACGGGCTTCCCCCCGGTCCAGGAGGACTCTGCAGGAGTGGGGGGCCAGCTGCCCAGCCTGTCAGGCTTCTGAGGGATCATGTGTCCTTTGAGTGGCCACATGTGGGAGAAGGGCCTGTAACCCAAGGCCAGGGACAGTACCCACAACACCCCCCACAAAGGGAGGTAGAGGAGGGAGAAGGGTAAGGGTTTTTCAGTTTGGGTGGAATGATGAAGTTTATGATAACCTGGTAGTGACCTCAGGACAGGCATGTCCTAGTGGGCTTCTTTGGTCATGGGGAGGATCCAGAGAGATGCCCTGGGGTGAGCGTTCGGCATGCGTTGGACATAGTCATCTAGGTAAGGGAGGAGAGGGGAGGCTGGAGTGAGCAGGGTGGTGGTGTCCCAGCCCCTCTCAGAGTCTGATGCTCAGAGCATGACATCTGGTGTTGGGTCTGTGACAGCTCTCAGAGAGGGAAGGTAAATACGTAAAATGTGTCAGACTCCTGATATTCACAGAGGCCTCATGTGGACTGCAACAGAGAGGGCTGACATTTACTCTCTGGATGGTATGGAAAGGGTCGAGATGGGGTACAGCTGTGGCACCCCAGAAGGCCCAGCTCCGTCCTCCTGTGCATAGCACTGACACCGAAGGAGTTACCTGACAAAGACCAGAGCTTCACGCTCCTTAACTCTTCAGCCTGTGCAGTTTGGGACAAGCTCTAAGTACCAAGAGGCCCAGTGCGCCATGTTTAAGGGGCACTCCCTTTGTCACTGGAGGAGTGTGGGATGCACAGAGCATGGGATGCTTGTCCAGAGCTACCAGCCAGATCTCAGGGAGCAACAGAGCTAGGGACCTGTACCTTGGGTGGCCCTTGTCCAAAAGACCTTCGACTGGGGCACCAGAAGGCAGCCCTAGTCACTGACTCCCCCAACCAGGGCCCTTTCTGTTCCCTTTTGCCCCCCACCGCCCTCCCTCTGAACACAGAAGTTTTGTCAGCCCCTTCAAAGGAAGAGGGCTCTGCTGCCACAGGAGAGTTTTGGTAGAAGGGCTGTGTGGATTGTGGCAGCCATACCATTACTGCTTCCAGCTGGAGCCACTCCTGCTAGCCGCCCATTCACCTGGACCTACTTGGCCAGAACCAGGTGGCAGATCCGGCTTACAAGTCAGGGGCTGCCTTCTTTACCAAGGTGCTTATCCTGACTTCTCTAGGCCCCAAGACCCTCACTCTATCAGTTTTTTTCATGGCAAATTGTTAAGGGGTGTATCATCTCCCTTCACTTTCCCAGCCTCGGACCAACACAAAACCTGAGCAGTGGCCAAAACTCACATTCTGAGTCAGCCCTTTGGCACGTTATTCAGTAGCACCAGGAAGGAGTCCCTGGTGCCCCGGGGTGGGGACGGTGCTTGTGGTTCCACAGGCGCCTTGCAACATGAGCAAGAACATCTGATATTGTCAGTGAGGAGAATCCTCAGGAGCGAGGGGTCGCTCATGTCCCCTTTCATGTGATCTGCCAGAACTTTGGCTCATGAGTATTTATTATGCCCAACATATTGTTGAAAAGCCATGTTATTATCATGTAATAGTAAGTAACATAAAGCCTCCAAGAAAAGGGCATAGCCAGAATAAAAAGCTTGAAGAAATAAGGCTCCTAGTGCCTCGTCGTAAAGCACTGACTGCCACAGGTCGCCATTGCTCGGTCTTCCCAGTTCTTCTGTGCACCTGGCATCATCGGGGAACAGAATTCAGGGAGCAGTAAATGTACCATGCACAGCATCTTTTAGGGAATCTAAGGGCCTGACAGATCTTTCAGGGAGCCTCCTGCTTATATCTTTGAGTAGTGTGTGTTCTGGCAAAGACTCAGAATGCTGATTTCTAAAGAGCTGCTACCTTGAGAACTCAACATTGCTTGTGGAAACCCACCAGGGTCAGCTTTCTCTGCCAGCACCACATTCCTCTTGCAGAAAGGGCCCATGGAAGGTTGTGCATGGTAGGGGTTATGGTGGAAGAAGACTGGGCTGAATACTCAGTGCCAGCCAAAATGTCAGATCAGAGGGCTGGGAACGGCCCTAGGCATCCTCGGCAGGGTGGAAATGGGAACATCTCCTTGTTTGCAGGCATCATTTCATTTGTTGGTGACTCCATTCCAGTGAGTTTAGAAACGGAGATAATGGTGGAGCAGGTGAAGGAACACTGCCAAGACCTCAAGATCCAGCTGGAGACCAAGGTCAGGGCGGGTAAGGGTGGCCACAGGGACACAGAGGAGCCTTGTGCCACATGCTGGAAAGCTTCACTCGTGCGTGCATGTTTCCATGTGCACACGTGCGCCCTAGATCCTGTGCCCCTTAGGAAGCCTGTTCGGGGACAGGAGATTATGGGGAAATGTAAATAAAATGAACATTCTGCCTCACACCTTCTTTGGAAGGAGGCAGGAGAAGAGGAATGACCAGTAAAGGGAGGGAATGGGGTTATGGGTCCCAGAGTGTCACGGGGGTCACCCTGAGACCAGACCTCCCCGCCCACACTGCCATCAGGAAATTACAGCTTCCATCTGTGTTCTAAGCTGATGTGACCCTGGGATTGCCCTTTGTGGGGTACTCTGTGGCCTTGTGGCCAGGACCGTGGCTGAGTCTGTCTTCTTAGATGAGCTTGTCCTCTGCTCAATTAGCAGACTGGTGGTGGGGTTTTACTGAGGGACATCTCCATGACTTGTTTCCACGATTTGTTATCAGGCATAAGAGTAGCAGCAAGATGGGATTGCCTGTCCTGGGCTTGTGCCTCTGGGCTCTCTGGATGCATTAGCTAGACATTCCTGCAGTAGTCATGCCCCAGGGGCCAGAGGATGTTCAGAGCCACGCACTGGTCTCAGAAAGGATCCGCAGTTCTCTCAGTTGTCCCACTGTCTGCCCTCTGGATGGCCGGGCCAGGCATCTGGCCCAGCGTGATCCTAGCCTCTGTTACCCATCTGCGGGACCTGCCTCCTGGGGCCCTTGTGAAGGTTATGGGAGACAACAGCGCCCGAAACCAGCACCAGGAGAGGCTCTCCTGACCTTAGCGCTGCTCTTTCCTTTCACAGGCCTGTGTACTTCTTTAGGTCTGGGCCACGATTCTCTGGGTGTCATGCCTAGAGGTCTGGTATTTCTGTGTTGTGTTGTCCAGTAAGTCATTTTCAGGACTCCTGATCAGTACTGCTCCCATTTCTCTTTTCAGGTCAATTCCTACGAAAGAGAAATGGAAGCGATGAGAAGGGACTTCATGAAGGAGAGGGAGGAGATGCAGCAGGCCTTCAGGCTTGAGATCCACATGCTGGAGTGCCGTAGGGCTGACCTGGAGGTGCTGCTTAGGAAGTCTCAGGAGCTCATCCGAGGCCTGCAGGACCAGCTCCAGCAGGTGACCCGTGGCCCTCTCCCGGAGAGGGCGGACTTGGGGCAGTGCTGCATGCAGGCGCTGTCTGGCCCGGCTGGGCCGCTGGCCCAAGAGCAGGACCCGCTGGAGCAGGAGCAGCACCAGAGGCATCGGACTGAGCTGCCACGAGTCAGGTCAGGTGATGTGTCCTTTCAGGATCTTACATCTAGTGGTGCTTGCCAAGAATCCAGACTTGAAATTTCGTCAAGCAACCTGCTCAGAATCTTAGTGCCTTCTAAAGGGGTGCTTTTTCTTGGGGCAGTTAGGTGAGCATTGAAAGAACAGGTCAGGAGTGCATGGGTGGCTCATTCAGTTAAGTGTTAGACTCTTGGTTTCAGCTCAGGTCGTGCTCTCAGGCAGGCACAACTGAGCCCCTCATCAGGCTGCATGCTCAGTGCTATTTGCTTGAGATTCTCTGTCTTCCTCTCTTTCTTCCCCTCCCCGCATTCACAGGCACCCCCCTCCCCCGCTCTCTAAATAATAAATGAATAAAATAAAATAGAAAGAAAGAACAGGTCATCAGGTAGGGATTGTCCCTTTGTATTAAAAATATGTGTTAACTAGAGCCTAGGAGTTAAAATTCCTTGTAGAATTTTGCCTCACACTTGGAAACGTTCTTCCTTTGAAAAGGAATGTTCTTTGAAAAGATGTTCTTCCTTTAGGATCTCATTCTAATAATTCTAATAATTCTAATAATTCTTCAGTATCTCATCCTTTAGTATCTCATTCTTCCTTTAGTATCTCATTTTCTAGGACATGGTATTATAGGACATGAGCATATGGATACAAGTTTTAAAACCCCTAAAACAATGGGAAAGACAAGTAATTTGGGTTAGCGAGTTTCTTGGAAAGGCCAGAAGTTATGAGAAAAGGACAGGAAAAGTTTATTTGGAAAACTGGAATATGGCATCTTGTGTCCAACAGTGTCATAGTTATATGAGACTTATCCATGTGCCCATTCCTTATTGAGTGGGTCTGACTTGGTAGAGTGAGTGACTAGTTATTTTAGCCATGGCGCTAGTTAGTCAGCCCTTCCATGTCCTGAGGGGTGTCTAGGACCCACCTAGCTCAGGAGGGGATGACCACGCCCAGCATATGTTGACCCAGTGCTGAGCAGATGGCTCATAGTGGAGGGGTCCACTGCACCATGCTCCTCACGGAGGGCCTGTGCAGGGCTCGGTGCGGTTCAGTGCTGGAGCTGAGTGCATGTGGCCTCAGTCACCCCCTGCTTGCAGGATTTTGACAACCTTTATGTAGAGACCATGCCCTCCAATGTGGGTGGGTGTGCTCTCCCCTTTGGCTCAGTGATTGGAGGTAGCCCAAGTACTTGGATGTGCTGTGAAAGAACCAGACCACCCCCCAAGTCTGTGGGTACTTCTTCCTCCCTGCAGCAGGCCCTCAGGTGCCAATGGAAACTGTCACTCTCCTACAGGATGATAAAGGTCATTTTTAAGTCATGTGCTTCCTCTGAGCTTTATTTTCTCTTAAACCCTAGAGCTGTGCCCCCACTGGCAGCAGATGGGCCCGTGTAGGGTAGCCCCTTCCACCAGCCCGCGCCAGTCATTTGGAGGACCTGCTGGCTGCTCACAGTCCCTCCCTGGGCTGGAGCTAGAGCCACAGCTGGCCACGTGTCTTGTTCTCAGGCCGACGCCAGCCAAGAACAACGAACATGTCCTTAGTGCCCTCACCTTGGCTGGGACTCCACTCTCCCAGGGCCATGAAGGCCTGGTGCCCAGCAACTAAACCGACTTTTCAAGAGGAGCTTTAACTGTAGGCGAGATACACACATCTCACTAAAGTTTTAGACCAGCACTATCCTTAGTACTTCCTGTGATGGGGGACACGTCCTGTGTCTTCTCTGTCCCTGATGGCAGCCACCAGCCGTGCATGGCTACTGAACTCTGGACATGTGGCCTACATGACTCAGATTCTGAGTTTTTATCCTATTTAGTTATAATCAGCTTACACTTGAACAGTTATATATGTGAATGGTTTCGTGTCAGCTTCTAAATGTAGAACCCAACCCCACTGAGGGCATATCCTCCCATAGACCCTCCACGGAGGGTCCCAGGGCATGGATGGGGCACTAGGGTGCATGGGGGGTGAGGGGAAGAGCAGGCAGAGGAGGTCTGCAGTCAGGACAAGAGGAGCCTGTGAGGAGGCCTTTCCAACCCAGGGGTAGGACTGGGCCTGGAGCTCTGCCCACAGTACCTGTGACATGCTCTGTTTCTGTAGGAAAGAGGCTGAAGTTGTGTGGAACTACGAGCTCTCAAGGATGCAAGCCCAGCAGGCTGCCCACTGTAAGCTCTTAGTGCTGCAGCCTCGGCAGGAGAAGGAAGAGGTGCTACTGAGCCCCCTGCTGCAAATCCACGAGGTGACCAGGAGGAACAGAGGCAGGGCAGGGGGAAGGAGATGCACCCACGTTGGAGAAGTCAGCTGCTGAAGCTGCAGGAGCTGACAGGCAGGGAACAGGGAGAGCTTTGCAAGCCCTTCGCCCTGGAGGAGGAGAGGCTGGAGCTCGCCTGGAGGAAGGAAATGGAAAAAATGTATGGGAAACAGACATGGTGTGGGCCTGTTTGTGGGATTGGTCAGCAGTGGCAGATCGCGAGCAGGAGGGGACAGGTTGCCCCACGCCCCTTTCTGCAGGCAGGAGGTGGCAGCCCCTGGCCTGGCTGGAACCTGTGATGGGTGTGGCCGTGGGCAAACCAGGGGTAGAGATGTGCCAGGCCAGCTCCTGTGCCATGTGAATGCTGGGCAGAGCCCAGCCCTGGCCCATGGAGAGCCTTTGGAGAGCCTTGGCTTCAGAGAGGATGGTCAGCATGTGCTCATTGTCAAAGAGGTGGCTTCTGCTCCCCCTGAGAGGTGGGCACAGGTGTACCCATGTGGGGTGGACAGGAGAGCAGTTCTGGGGGAGCCATTGCCTCCTGCCAGCAGCTCAGCTGGTCTGAAGCCAGATGGAAGCACAGGAACTGCTCTGTGGAACAGGAGGAGATGCCTTACCAGCTCACCCCCCTGCAGTGGGCAGAGGAGAGACAGATGTCGCTGGCTGTTCTAGAGCGAGCTAGGCACCTGAATGGGGGGCTGGTCCCCGCAGGGAGCCAAGGGCAGGCTGTGGAGGAGCAGGGCCAGCCTGGGGAGAGCAACCTGGAGCAGGGGCTGCAGCACAGCAGGGACAAGGCCAAGGAGGGCACTCGCTCCCCCAGCCTCACATCATTGGTCCCCAGGTGGCTGGGCAGGAGCAGCTCAAGTCCCTGCAGGAGGAAGAGGCCAACACGACCCTGGAGAGAGAGAAGGATGACATGAAAACCAAACTTCTGCAGCTGGAAGATGTCGTCCGGGCTCTTGAGAAAGAAGCAGATTCAAGAAAGAACAACAGGTGTGGTTTCTATCCATTCGTAGAATGTCAGGCTACACCCTCTAACCTCTCACCTCCCATTCCACTGCATGGGCCATGGCACAGCTGCTGAAGGGAATTTTGTAACCATTGTGCCTGTGCAGGGGTCATAAGCCTGGCCCTGACCCCAGGCATCCCAGAGGTCACCACATGCCCAGTGAGTGGGTGAGGGCAGAGCTGGGCCTTTCTGGGCAGCTCCAATGATGTCCCTTGCTCTTGACCTTAGGAAGTCCTTGCTATTCTCACAAGGACAAAGACTTTGCCTGGAGCCCCGCTTCAGTCCTGGGTTGCCTGAGCCCTCTTTCTGCTGACTTTGAGCAGGACCCACCACTTTGCCCCACCAGCATATGCTCCAGGCACTGTCCTTGAACTGCAAGCTCCTGAGCTTTGTGAGTGGGGCAACAAACAAGGCCGTCCAGCCCAGGCACCTCCTGAGAGGCTCGGGCTAGGGCATGAGTGCCCCAGGGGTTCAGGATGCTGCTGCAGTTGATGCCTTCAGGGAATCCTCCAGCTGGGGAGGTGGCCTGGAGATGTTGGTCTGTGGGCCAAGTTCAGAGAATGCATCCAGGCCCTCCTTCCCGGGGTTCCTTGAGGGACTTAGGCTGACACATGCTCTTTCTCAGAAGCCCAGAATTCTAGAGACTAGGCTTTTCCAGATGCTGCAGCACATGGCCTTAGATGTTTTTCTGGTTACTTTGGAGATGGAAGGCTTCCCTGGGAGATGTTACGGGTACTGGCACGCCAGGCACAGACATGTGATATGGTCCATGCTCCGTGTGCTCACTTGGTCCCATGACCCCTGCACAGCACACCTGTGTGGGGCCCACTTCTTGTGGAGATGGAGGCTCCGTGAGGTATTGTTTCACTTGTCAAGTAGGTGATGCCGGCTCCCAGCAGACCCAGGCCTGTCTTGGAGCATGATCATAGGTGTGTGGTGAGACCTACAGTCCAGCTCAGGCATCAGCTCCTGCAATCTGGGTGACCATGGGGAGAAAAAAAATTATGTGGGATTGACATGAAACCAAAAGGAAGAAATGTCAAGGCGCCACTCAGCTTGAGACAAGACATTAGCATAGCTGGAAGCCTCCTAGGCACAAGGTCTCCTCACCTCCTGGGATACCATTACTTGATGTCCTTGCTTCTTACGTAGGTGTCTCTAAACCACAAAGCACCTTGTTTGTGGTGGCCTGTCTTCTCAATTTTGTCACCCATGGAATGCAGAGGGTGCCCTCCCCCAGAGGGCCTGGAGCACGAAATGAATGTAGAACACACACTTACTATCCTGGGTGCTCCACAGCAAGTCCCTGACACCCAGAGGCTGGTCTTAGACCCTGCGGACACACCATGGGCACCTGTTCTGGGCATGAGTCTGCGGCAGGACTCAGGCATGCGCAGAAGCAGCCCAGCACCTTGAGCCTGTTGACCCCACAACTAAAGTCACAGTTGTAGTCTCAGGAGGGTCTTCACCCCTTGACAGTGCTAATGGGGCATCTTCTGTGTGGGGCACAGCTAGGGATCACAGCAGGCTGCAAGACAGGTTTACAGCTTTGGGTCTGTGGGGGAGGTGCCGTGCTTCCTGTGTGTCTCTGTGTCAGGGAGAAACGTGCTGCTGTTTCAAGTATGAGGAAACTTAAAGGCCATACTGCCAAGACCGTGTACATTTCCCAGGGACATGTGCACGAATAGTGAAAGCCTAAGAAAATATATAGAAATGACCAGCCCAAATTCTGGTAGTTTTCTGGGAGGAGAGTTGTTCAGGTCTGGGAAGGTGGAGGAGGACCTGGGGAAGGAGCAGACCTTGCCCAGGGTAGAGGGCTTTGGGGAGCAAGGAGGTGGCTGTGCAGAAGGGAATGTGGGTGGGAGCCGGCTCTTGCGGGCATGAGGAGGGCTTTTGGGAGGCTGGCTGCTGGGGCCCTGTGGCAGGCAGCTATGGAAACGTGCTCTTTGTTAGCCAGGGAAAGAAGATTGGATTGCAGGGGTCGTAGGGTAGGTGTGTAGAAGGAGGTGGGTAGAGGGCAGGAGGAGGCAGTTACTGCAGCTCTCCAGGCAAGAAGTGACAGTTGCTGGGGGCCCAAGTGATAGCATCAGAGGTGCAGGAAGTCACCTTACAGGAGTGTGGAGGCCAAGACGATGTGTTACAGGAGGATGGGATTTTCACAGGGAAGTTGGAAGTGGGCCCCAGAGCAGTCGGAGGACTCCCCGGAAATGCCACTGACCAAGAAAAGGGGAGGGCAGCATTCAGTTACACTTGAGGAGTCTGTGGTGTCTCCTGTGGAGTGAGGTAGGTGGAGAGTTGAGGAAGGAGCCCCCCAGAGGAAGGAGAAGCCAAGGAGCTGTGTCTTTAGGGGAAGTATCCCACAAGGAGAGAGGAACACTTGTCTCCAGGGCCCTTGAGAGGCCAGTTCACACAAGACGCGCTGCTTGCTGGAGTCCACTGTGCTCAGCAGCATGCAGGCGCCTCTGGAGCCCACCAGCATCCCTCACCCCCAAGGTGGGTACCCAGCCCCTGCTCTGGGAGGGCAGGTTTGTCCCTAGCACCAGACAGTGGACCAACCCCTGGCCACAACTCCCAGTATATTGGCCTTGTGGCCACTTTTAAGGAAACACATGGGACCACCTTCCAAACCCACACTAGCCGTAGGCACCTTGGCTAGCAGAGCTCATACCTGCAGGATCTTAAAGGCCTTTGTGGAGATTTGGGCCTTTATCAAGGAGAAAGCAAAGTGCAGAGAGTGACATGACCAGATTTAGACTGTGACAGACTCTCTGCCAGCAGCTTAGAGAGCAGAAGTAGTCTGAAGGCCCACATGGCTGAATTCATCCACGGTTGCTATTGCTATTTTGCTGTATACACAGTTCCACACACACCCTTTTCAAATTCTTTCTGAATCATTGGAGATCATTGCAGACATTATGATACTTTACTGCTAAATATTTCAATATGTTATTTTTTTCCTAAAGATTTTATTTACTTATTAGAGAGATAGAGAGAGACCACAAGTAGGCAGAGCAGCAGGCAGGGAGAAGCAGGCTCTCCGCTGAGCAGGGAGCCCGATGTGGGGCTCGATCCCAGGACTCTGGGATTGTGACCTGAGCCAAAGGCAGCCGCTTAACCAACTGAGCCACCCAGGTGCCCCGCCAACATGTTATTTTGTAAGAACAAGAAGTTCTCTTGCATATGCACAGTATTGTTAGCACATGTAGGAAGTTTAATTCGAACGCACTGCTATTTAATTTGCACTCCACTTCCACATTTTGTCAATTGTTTCAGTGTGTTCTTTGTAGTTTGTCCACCTACCCCAGATCTAAGCAAGGATCATGGTATGCATTTAGTTATCATTTCTCTTTAATATCCTTTAAGTATATCACTCTTCTTAAATTAGTTTTTCTGTCAATGGATACTGACTTTTTTTTAAATCATGGCAATGTACACATAATATAAAATTGACCATTTTAACCACATAATTTAGTGGCATTAAACATGTGCCACGTGTAACTATCACCACTTTGTACTTCCAAAACTTTCTCATCATTCCAACCAGAAACTCTCTATTAAATGATGATAATTGCTAGTATTTTGTGAGGATTTTAGCATCAGTATTGGTCTATAGTTTGAGAAAGATTAGCATGTTCTTCTTTAAATGTTTGGTTGGGTGGCTCAGTTGGTTGAGTGTCCAACTCTTGTTTTTGGCACAGATCGTGATCTCAGGGTCCTGGGTTAGAATGCCGTGCGTGGCTGAGGATTCTCTCTCCCTCTTTGCCGCTCCCCCCACTCACAAGCATGCTCTCTCTCTCTCAAATAAATCTTAAAAAAAAATAAAAAGATTCCACTACTGACATTGGGTAGTCTACTCTGTCTAGTTGTTGCTCTGTGTGTGTATTAGTTTCCTACTGATGCTGTAACTAATTACCACTATTACTAAGTTAATGGCTTAAAACAACACAATTTATGATTTTACAGTTTTGGAGCTCAGAAATCTGAAATGGTTATGACTGGACTAAGATTAAGATGTTGGCAGGGTTTCCTTCCTTCCTGGTGGCTCTAGAAGAGAATCACTGTTCTCGTGTTTTTCAGCCTCTGTGGGCCGCTCGCATTCCTTGTTTCTGGCCCCCTTCCATCATTAAAGCCAGTGATGACTGGTCAGGTCCACCTGACATCACATCACTCTGACACCCATGCTCCTCCCTCCCTCTTCCATGTTTCAGGATGCTGTGATTACATTGGGCCCACCAGGATGATCCAGGAGCTATAATTGTAGATCATTCATATGGTTCGTTGCTGTGGATTGTTCTGTTGTGTGAATGTACCACAGTTTACTCATTCACTTGTGGATGGGCATGTGAATAGTGTTTAGTTTCGGTCAGCACAAATAGTACTGCTAAGAAAGTTCTTATCTGTGTCTTTTGGAGCATTTATGTTGGGTTGTGCCTAAGAATGGAATTGTCATGTCATAGGGCAGGGATGTGGTTTTCTTTCTACTCATCCAGCTTAGAAAAATATTGTACCCATTGAAATTGTGTCTAATGAAAATTTCTCAGCCATTATTTTTTGAATCATTGCTTCTTCTCTCACTCTACAATTAGATGTATGTTGTTAGATCTTTTCAATTTTCCTCCATTTCTTCCATTCCATGTCTTTTATCTTCTTTTCTCTCTTGTCGCATTCTGGATACTTTCTTCCCCTATCTCTGTGTTCCAGGTCAGTAATTCTTCTTTCAGCTGTCTAAATCTCCCATTTAACTTATTCAGTGAGGTTTTATTTTGACATTGCCTTTTTTTTCCCATTTCCAAAAGCCAATTTTTGTCCTGTTTGGTCTGATCATTTTTGATATTTTCTTACTGCCTTTTTATTTTTTTATTTCCATTTTTATTATGTAAACATTTTATAATTTTATCCTTAGTTTGTGTCTGATAAATCTAATATCCGAGGTTCCCATGAGCTCTAATCTGCTGTTTTGCTTCTACTGCCCCTCAGAGGTGCCTTTCTGATGTGGTGATCTTTGATTGTGAACTCAGGTTTATGTGATGTTAATCTCTGAGAATCTCCAGAACTGTAGTAGAGGATGCTTTCTGAAGAAAGGGCAGATGTTGCTTTTGCTGAGAATTGGGAGCCTGCTAATCTGGGACCACTTTAACTTCCTCTAGGTCACTGGCTTAGTAGGCATCCACGGTGTGGTTTTTCCATGCTGCTGATGGCAGTGCTGACATAGGCATTGGCCTCGGGGTAACCCTATCTTTGTGTGGCTCAATGCTCATAGCTGGGGTTTTAGCTTCAAGATTTTTGTTTTATTAGGGGGCCCTTGGAGGTTTCCATTACCTTCTGTGAGGACAATAATCCCTCTGTATGATCAGCCTCACATAGCTCTAGTTGCTTGGTGTGGTGGGGGGGGGATGGGATGGGACATCCATCGGCTTATCTGAGGTCCAGGAAGCTGGAAGTGGAACCCCAACACACACAGCTGCCGTGAATTAATTTGTCTTCTAACCTGGAGCCAGAGTGGCAGTTTCCAAACACAGACCTCATTTGTTTCACTGCTCTGCTTGAAACCATTTTCTGCTTTAAAAATTCCAGTGACTTTCCTTTCTCTTTTTCTCTTTAGTTCCTCATGAGATAAAATAAAGTTCCATTTATGTGTATGAAGGAGACACTTAACACTTGGTATTATAAGCATATTACATTAAATAAATATAATAAGACCCTGTGGCTTTGAGTATTTTTAAATTGAAAAAATTAGAAGATAATGCCAGATAGGGCCCTATGGGGGTGGGGGGAGACAAATGTCAGACCAGCATCTATTAAGAGTAAATTGCTGTGTGTGGTTGGGGGTGGGGTACCTGAGTGGCTTAGTCAATTAAGTGTCTGCCTTCAGCTCAGGTCATGATCTCAGGGTCCTGGGATCAAGCCCCATGTCAAGCTCTGCGCTTAGTGAGGAGTCTGCTTCTCCCTCTCCCCCTCCCCTTGCATGTGCACACTCTCTCTCTCAAGTAAATAAAGTTGAAAAAAAAAAAAAGAATAAATTTCTCGGGCAGCAAATATGGGTTTTAAGCTGCCTCATTTGTGATCTTTACTGGTAAATTGCTTATCTGTCATATGTCAGTGGTGTTACCCAAGTAGAGATCTCTAAGTTACTAGAAAGCAAAGGTGGCTCCAGGCAGACTTGGTTCATGTAGTAATTACTCATGCTTGCTTTTTCCCATTGAGGGATCCATCTTGCACCATGTGAACATCTCCCCAGTCTTCTCCTCCCTCGTGCTGACCTCAGAGTGTATGATGCAGGTAGCGCTCTCTAAAGAGGAGAATGTGTTTTGGTCTTCTGATCCTTTGTGTTCCTTAGCTCCATGCTAGAGTTCTCTGGTGGGGGGATGTCCATCCTTGCAGTAACCTAAGGACCCGCAGCCAGCATTGCGCATTGATACCAACCATGAGCACACTCATTTTAGTTAATGGTTATAAGATGTGCTAACAGGTCAGCGGTAACATGAAGTAAACAGAGCCGAGGTGGTGAATACATTGATGAGTTGTTGATTCCGTGACTGTTTTAGAACCTAAGAAAGTTTTATTTTCTGTAGCTTATTGCTTGGGAGATGCAAACCATAGCAGGTTAGCAGTGTATAAAGGAAAAGGAACAGTGTGCTCTGTGCCATCCAGGGATGATGCAGGGTCCACCATGACTTCCCCCTGCAAGACCATACGCATGTAAACTATGGATTGCGGCCAGCTCCTGGGGTCCCCATGCTTATCAAGCATGGTAATTTTTCATGCAGAATCGAGTTGGATGGGCTTTCTGAAGAAAATGCATTGTTGAAAAATGAGCTGGGAAGGATTCAGCAAGAGCTCGAAGCTGCAGAAAGGACAAATGATGCTCAGAGGTAAGAGCCTTGGCTCCGTGGTTCTGTCTGATTCCAGTTTGCAACACGCTTTGCCCTTTGTACAATGAGCTTTGAAGGTGTTGCTGGGGAAAGTGGGAAGTGTTCAGGCGCGTGGGTGGCTCAGCCTGTTGAGTGTCTAGACACCTGTGTGTGGAAGAGGAGTGGCTTTCTGCTTTCATTGCCATAGTCTTATAGTCTTATCCAAGGGCAGTTTGACCTTTTTTTTTTCCCCAACAATGAAATTAAAGATTATTAAAGTATGGCATCAAGAGCAGGTGGTCCACAAGTGATTGCTATTAGATTATAGCAAGTCTAAAATCTAGAAGTTTTTTCCCCTCTCGAAACCGTTGTTTCCCTGGATCCCTGGGTGGCTCAGCAGGTTAAGCATTTGCCTTCAGCCCAGGTCATGGTCCCAGGAGCCTAGGGTCAAGCCCCAAGTTGGTCTCCCTGCTCAGCAAGGAGTCTGCATCTTCCTCTCCCTCTGCCCCTCCCCCTGCTAGTGCTCATGCTCTATCTCAAATAAATAACATCTTTAAAAAAGAAAGAAAGAAAGAAAGAGAAAGAAAGAAAGAAAGAAAAAGAAAAAGAAAAAGAAAGAAACCATTATTTCCCTTATTTGCTGCCAGGAAGTTTTACATTTACAAGAGACACCAACAGATACTAGGCTGTTTTAGTCCTGCCTATGCCGCTGGGTGTGAACGGTCACATTTTGCTAATGAGATCTTATTTTGTGTGACCAAGAAATGCCATGGAGGTTCTTACTGTGTTCCTGCAGTAGTGACAGTGTTCCTCGAGTTCCCAGGGTCGGGGTCCTGACTGGGTGGGCAGTGGCAGTAGTGAACAGTGGCAGGGTGGTGGCTTGGGGATCCCAGGAGCAAGCGTGAGAGTCTGTTCTGCGGCTGCAATCCCCAAGCCGCCACTGTTCAGGGGCAATGACTGGGACAAAAGAACCTGGCTGCTCAGTGACACTGTACATTTTGTTTCTTCAACAGGAAGGAAATCGAGGTTTTAAAGAGAGACCAGGAAAAGAGCTGCTCTGAAGTGGAAGAACTCAACAAACAGGTCAGGTGTTGATACCCACATGACACTAACATCAACTCTTTTCTCTTTAGTTTGAAGTAATTTCAGATTTTCAAAAAGGAAGGAAAAAATTTTTTTCTGGAAGATCTGAGAGTTGCCAGCCCATCTGCCCCATCCCCGGCTCAAAGTCGGGATGTTAACATGGGTGCAGAAGTGCCACCGTAGCCCCCACCTCTCTGGGGTGTCACTACTTCCAGCACAGTTAACGGCTAGAACTAAGGAGTATGTATGTTCTTATTTACATACACACTCACATGCATATGGTTTCATGAGTATTTATTTATATATATCTTTCTTCTGAAAATCATGAATTCAAACCCCATATATGCAATTCCCACCTAATATCATAGGGATGAGCCTAGTTTCTCCCTTTCCATATTTGTAACTCCTATCTAGCAGTGAGAAGAGGATATCCTATCCTAGGAACCATATCCTAGCAGTGAGAAGCCGGTTTCTATTTTTGAAGATCCACTTATTATTGATCAGTCTCCCCTTAACCCACGCATAAACACCCTTCCCAATATGTTTCAGCACTAACCCCACACTGGTCCTCTCTTTGCCCCCATACACAGATGCCTTTTTTTTTTTTTTAACTTATTTTTTTATTTTTTTAGTGTTCCAAGATTCATTGATTATACACCACACCCAGTACTCCATGCAATACGTGCCCTCCATAATACCCACCACCAGGTTCACCTAACCCCCTCCTCCCTCCCCTCCAGTACCCTCAGTTTGTTTCTTAGAATCCACAGTCTCTCATGACTCGTCTCCCCGCTCCGATTTCTGCCAATTCACTTTTCCTTTACTTCTCCCCATGTCTTCTATGTTATTCCTTATGTTCCACAAACAAGTGAAACCATATGATAATTGACTCTCTCTGCTTGACTTACTTCATTCAGCATAATCTCCTCCAGTTCTGTCCATGTTGATACAAAAGTTGGTTATTCATCCTTTCTGATGGAGGCATAATATCCCATTGTATATATGAACCATATCCTCTTTATCCGTTCGTCTGTTGAAGGGCATCTTGGCTCTTTCCACAGTTTGGCAACTGTGGCCATTGCTGCTATGAACATTGGGGTAGGTATGGCCCTTCTTTTCACTGCACAGATGCCTTTCATACTTGGTCTCAGTTGCTGGCTTGTGGATGATTATATATTTATTTATTTTTGTGAGGCAGAGATTGAAAGAGAGAAAGAAAGCGTGCACATGAGCGGGGTCAGGGGCAGAGGGAGAAGCAGAGTGTCTGCTGAGCAGGGAGCCGAATGCGGGACTTTATCCCAGGACCCCAGGATCATGACCTGAGCCGAAGGCAGACACTTAACTGACTGAGCCATGCAGGTGCCCTTTTGGACGAATTATTAAGGAGGAAGCACACAAGCTGGGATGTATCATTCTTGGGTTTTTAAATTCTTTTTTAAATTGATATTGTTATTGATAATTGCAACTCATGTAGTTGTAAGAAATATAGAGAAATCCTTCAAATCCTTTGACCAGTTTCCCCCAATGGTAATATTTTTTTAAGTTTTTATTTAAATTTCATTTAACATCCAGTGTAATACTAGTTTCAGTGCACATATAGTAATTCAACACTTCATACATCACACAGTGCTCATCATGATAAATGTAGACCTTAATTCCCTTTACCTGTTTTATCCATCCTCCCACCCACCTCCCCTCTGGTAGCCATCAATTTGTTCTCTGTACTCTCTAGGTTTGTCTCTCTCTATCTTTATTTCCCTATGCTCATTTGTTTTGTTTCTGAAATTCCACATATGAGTGAAATCATATGGTATTTGTCTTTCTCTATTTTGCTTAGCAGTATGCCCTGTAGCTCCATCCATGCCATTGCTGATGGCAAGATTTCATTCTTTTTTATGACCAAGTAATATTTCATTGTGTGTGTGTATGTGTGTATCTCACATCTTCTTTATCCATTCATCAAGCAGTGTATACTGGAGCTATTTCCATAATGTAGCTATTGTAGATAATGCTGCTGTAAACATTGGGGTATATGTATGCCTTTCTATTAGTATTTTTGTATTCTGTGGGTGAATACCTAGTAGTATGACTGCTGGATTATGGGGTAGTTCTATTTTTAACTTTTTGAGAAATTGACATACTATTTTCAACAGTAGCTGTACAGTTTTCATTCCCACCAAAAGTGCATGAGGGTTTTCCTTTTTCTGCATCTTTACCAACACCTGTTTTTTCTTGTGTTGTTGATTTTAGCCATTCTGACAGACATGAGGTGATATCTTGTAGTTTTGATTTGTATTTCCCTGGTGATGAGTGATCTTTCCATGTGTCTGTTGGCCTTCCAGATATCTTCTTTAGAAAAATGCCTATTCATGTGGTCTGCCCATTTTTAAATTGGATTAGTTGGTTTTTTGGGTATTGAGTTCTATAAGTTCTTTATATAGTTTGGATACTAACCTTTTATCAGATATGTGATTTGCAAATATCTTCTCCCATTCCGTAGGTTGCTTTTTAGTTTTGTTGATTGTTTCCTTTGCCATGCAGAGCTTTTTAAATGTATTTTTTTTTTAATTTGACAGACAGATCATAAGTAGGCAGAGAGACAGGCAGGGGTGGGGGGAAGCAGGCTCCCTGCTGAGCAGAGATCCCAATGCGGGGCTCGATTCGAGGACCCTGGGATCACAACCTGAGCCAAAGGCAGAGGCTTTAACCCACTGAGCCACCCAGGCGCTCCTCACCTTTTCTTTTTTAAGGTTGCTTGGGCTAATCAGGGTCTTTTGTGGTTCCATACAAATTTAAGGATTGCTTGTTCTAGTTCTAGGAAAAATGCTGTTCATGTTTTGATGGGGATGGCATTAAAAGTGTAGACTGTTTTGGGTAGTATGGACATTTTAACAATATTTGTTCTTCTGAGCCATGAGCATGGAATGTCTTTCCATTTCTTTGTGTCATCTTCAGTTTTTAAAATCAGTATTTTATAGTTTTCAGAGTACAGGTCTTTCACTATGTTGGTTAGGTTTATTCCTAGGTATCTTACTGTTTTTTGTGTCATTATAAATGGGATTGATTCCTTAAGGTCTCTTTCTGCTCCTTCATATTTGATGTATAGAAATGCAACAGATTCTGTATGTTGATTTTGTATCCTACAACTTTCCTGAATTCATTTATCAGTTCTAGCAACTTTTTGGTGGAGTCTTTTGGGTTTTCTATATATAGTATCATGTCATCTACAAATAGGGGAAGTTTTACCTCTTCCTTGCCAATTTAGTTGCTTTTTCTTTTTCTTGCCTGATTGCTATGGCCAGGACTTCCAATACTGTGTTGAATGAAAGTGGTGAGAGTGAACATCCATCCCTATCTTATTCCTGACCTGAGAAAAACTGAGAGCTTTTCCCTCATTGAGGATGATGCTAGCTGTAGCTTTTTCATCTGTGGCCTTTATTATGTTCCCTCTAAACCTATTCTGTTGAGGGTTTTTAATCATAAATGGATGTTGTACTTAGCTTTTTCCATATCTATTGAAATAGTCGTATGGTTCTTATCCTTTCTTTCATTAATGTGATATATTATGTTGATTGGTTTGCAAATTTTTAACAACCCTTTCAACCCAGGAACAAATCCCATTTGATTGTGATGAATGATTTTTGCTACTGTTGGATTTGGTTTGCTAGTATTTTTTTGAGGACTCCGCATCTGTGTTCATCAGAAAACAGGCCTATAGTTCTCTTTTTTGGTGGTGTCTTTATCTGGTTTTCGTATCAGGGTAATATGGGCCTCATAGAATGAATTTGGAAGTTTTCCTTCCTTTTTTACTTTTTGGAATAGCTTGAGAAGAATGGGTATTAACTCTAATTTATATGTTTGGTAGATTTTGCCTATGAAGCCATCTGGTTCCGGACTTTTCCTTGTTGGGAGATTTTTGATTACTGTTTCAATTTATTTGGTGGTTATCAGTCTATTCAAATTTTCTGTTTCTTTCTGTTTTAGTTTTGGCAGTTTATATGTTTCTAGGAATTCCACCATTTTTTCTGAGCTGTTCAATTTGTTGGCATAGAGTTTTTCATAATAGTCCCTCAGAATTGTTTGTATTTCTGTGGTGTTAGTTATTTTGCTTCTCTCATTTGTGATTTTATTTATTTGCCTCCTTTCTTTTTTCTTTTTGAAAAATCTAGCCAGGAGTTTATCAATTTTATTAATTTTTTAAAGAACCAGCTTCTGGTTTCATTGGTCTGTTCTACTAGTTTTTTTGTTTGTTTAGTTTCTATATGTCATTTATTTTTGCTCTAATCTTGATTATTTCCTTCCTTCCACTGGTTTTGGGTTTTGTTTGTTCTTTCTCTAACTCCTTTTTATATGAGGTTAGATTGTGTATGAGAGATTTGCCTTGCTTCTTGAGGTATGCCTGACTTGCTATAAACTTCCTTCTTAGAACTGCTTTTGCTGCTTCCCAAAGATTTTGGATCCCTAGTGGTAACACTTCATAAGACTAAAGTATAATATCTGTATTAGTTCACTAGGGCTGCCATAACAAAATGCCACAGACTGAGTGGCTTACACACAGAAATTTATTTCCTTACATTTCTCAAGATTAGAGGTCCAAGGTCAAGGGTCGGCAAGTTAATTTCATGAAGCCTGTCTTGTAGATGGCCGTCTTCTCCCTGTGTCCTCACATGGCCGTCCCTCTTACATGCCTGTGTTCTAATCTCATCCTAATAACTTTCATATTAGATTAGAGCCCACTTTTAGGATCTCATTTAGTGTTAATCACCTATTTAAAGACTCTATCTCTAAATACAGTCACATTCTAAGGTATTGGGAGTTTGAACTTCAACATATGATTTTTGGGTTGACAGAAATCAGCCTGTAACAAATATCATAACAAGCTATTAATGTTGATACAATCCATAGATCTTACTTAGATTTCTCCAGTTTTACTTGCGTACTCATTTGTTTGGGTATGTGTGTGCATGTGTGTATGTCTGCGTGTAAGTCTGTGTATAGGT